ATGTTGGTGACAGAAGACGGATACGGGAACGTACGTTGATCCAGTAGGCGATGAAGGAGCCGACAGAGTAGAACATTTGCCAGCAGGCCATGATGTGGCCACGAATCTCTGAGGGTGCGACCTCGCCGATGTAGACAGGGCCGGCGGTGAGGGCCATGCCCTGGCCGAGACCGATCACGACACGGCCGGCGATGAAGACGCCGAGCTTGTGGTGGGGGGTGAAGGTCTGCATGAGAGTCGCGATGATGGTGACGAAGCAGCCGATGGCCATGCCCCAGCGACGTCCGAGGTAGTCGGCCTGTGTAGAGGGGTTTGTGTTAGCCTGAACTGATGATATCTTGTTTATGGTATTAGTTCAGGAGATGATGTTGCTTACAGTGGGACCACCGAGGAAGAAACCGGCGACGATGGCGCCGATGGTGTAGGCGGTGTTGACAAGGCCGATGAGCTGGGTGTCCTTCTTGAGGTCGACATCGACCCATTCGAGCCAGTTCTTTGAGCCCTGGAGGGAGTTGAAGACGGAGGCATCGTACCCGTAGAGGACCATGCACATGGCCGCCATCAGGGAGATGTACCAGTTGTACACTCTTTTGCCGGTGGGAAGACCCATCTTGGCGGAACTCTTTTTTTGGTTGACTTCCTAGAGAGAAAGATAACGACACCTGTATGGTAAGAGGAGGAGTTATCGTCCTGAAGAAGTGAGATTGGATTGAAGCAACTCCGGCAGAGAGGTAAAGAGCCAAGGAGAGAAGAGAGAGTCGTTCGATTCAGGAAGAAGAGGAGATGGGAGGTTGTCTTTAAAACCTTTATCTCAAAGGCGCACACCATACCACACTATACCTGGTCTCTTTTCAAAAGTAACCTAAGCCGTTCAGGTTCAGATAGGGATCCCCGCAAGAGTTTAGATTTCCCCCAATCCTTTCCCCCAAATCCCCTCATCTCACACCCCCGGTCCCCCTCATTCCCCGGTCTGACTATCCGCAACAAGATGCTGGCTCGAACGAAGGCGGCCGGCTGCCGCTAGAATTAGACGGCGAAAGAGAAGAGCAGCCAACCGAGAGAGAGGAGGGATTGGGGCTGGCACCGGCATCTTTCCCCATAATTGTCGAGGCCCCAGGCCTAGCTAGTAGCGCTGGTTCCGGGGGAGTGGAGAATTGAGATGGGGGACTTTGGATGGCATGGTTGGACGGGTTGGTTTCCTGCACACCGAATGCTGAGAGATACCTAGTTTAGAATCGGGTTTCTGTCTTGTTGCATACGACTATCCGTACGTACATATAGGCTTGGTTCCCTTGCTTGAAGCTCTCATAACCGCTAGGTGGATGGGGTATAGACATTGTCAAATGTGATATCTTTATACACTCTCTTCAAATGATATTCTAAACCTCTCACTCCTTATTCCCTCTCATCAGCCATGTCGTCCAAAGACAAGACAACCCAAGGAATGCGGCGACAGAACGAATCTCTTGGCGCCGCGCCGCGTGTGGCCCGCCGTGTCCGCCTTTCTTCCCCAGAGACCCCCAACCTTTTTGACAATCCTTGCTTCGAGTCTTGTCTCCGCGAAAGGGCGAAGGGGGGAGAGAGAAAGCTAGCCGGCTAGCTTGAGATGGAGAAGGGGAGGGGGCGTCTGAACCGGCGGAGAAATCCCCAACTTTCAAAATTCCACCAATGATAATTTCGCCTGGAGTATCGGCTTCACGTACGGATACGCCCTCCCTCAGTCTGCCAATAAAACGAACCAGACACAATTTCAACCACCGCGTGGTGGCTGGTCTGGGCAAACGCTTGTTTTCCCTTATCCTCGACTCGAACGAATCCACCATGTCCACACGTCCCCGTTTCCCCCCGTGGGCCGTGAGACTTGTTTGTGCAGTTTGCAGAGTGACAAGGCGGAGCTACCTTCGAGTTCGAGAAGGAGGACAGTGACTTATGCGACTGACTGATAGCCAAGGCCGCCTTATCGCACGTCCTTGACGCGTGCGCTTCTCGATTCAGCGTCTGGATAGTGGACTTCGTTGTCGATGATGGCCCTTGGCGCTGCACATGGCCGTCCACCTCCATCGCCGGGATGCCGAGTCCCGTATCTGGACACGCCTATCCGTGGGGCCGGTTTGGGTCTCTCTTTGCAACTGTGTCTCTCGGTCGTTTTCGACAGTTATTCTCAAAGTTGTGTATGTCAAATTCTCGAATTGATAAATGCCGTCCTTAACGAGATATCACGGATGGGATACCTAAACCGGCGCATGCAAAGCTGAACTGAATCCGGCCGGCTCTTGAGTCTGGCGCGCGGACGACCGCGCCGCAAATTACCGCCCCCATGTCAAGCACCTTCGACCTTCCTTGTGAAGTTCTGCCTATGAGAGGTTCGCATGTGAAGGGCAATGTGTTCTGTTACGCTAAAGTCTGTTGTCACCGCATCCCGGCCCTTGGCCTGGGTCGAGTTCATCTTGAGAGAGAGAGGGACCCATTCTTTCTGCAGCGTTCCCTTCATGCGCAGGAGGCAAAAAGAAAATAGGTCTAGGCTTGCAGCTTTCCGGCATGAGACGCCGGGGTCGTTCCGCTAATCTCCAGAGTAAATGACATGAGGGCTGCTCCCGCGCCGTTTCACTGCCTTCTTGACTCGCAGTGTAGTGATGTGGTGAGTAACCAAAACTCTATCCCTGCGGTTAGTCAGTGTAATTCAAGGCATCGCAACACTTGTTTTTGAAGACAGGCAAAGTAGAGGATCGGAAGGAGACAACACAAGCTTCAGCCAGCGCGAGCCAAGAATAATAGAAGCACACACAAGCACACAATACCGCCCTCCTTCGGCGATTATCCAAGAGACCATCAGAGAGCCAAGCCTGGTCATTCCGCGATTCCCGCGTTGGCACTGCAAGCCACCCGGCGCCGCCAAGAACACCAAGTTGTGCCGAATATCTCGACTTTCTTCCTCGGCCATCTTCTGCCTACTGATGCCGGCTTGCTTTTGACTTGGGCTTGAGATTTTACATATGCCAACGGCAAGCTGCTACTAGTTGAATCCCAAGGGCCTGGGACCCAAGAAACGTAGCGAGTAATGCAAGGCCAAGACCGCCTGCGAGCAGTGAGCACCCATGACCTCTCTGCCTCTCTCGATCGTTGGGAAAACCTCTATCCCGCCGGCACAGATTCGAACCTCTGAAGAAAATCAACCCATCCCCATCTTGGCACTAGCATCAACTGCCATCGTGACTCCAGGTCCTCTCCGCTTCATCTCCCCCGGACCCCAGAAAACGCCGTGCCGCAATCCGGAGTCAAGAGGACAAACAGGAGGAGGGAAAAAAAGTCGAACCACTGGAAAATCCGGAGTCCCCAAACCACACTATGGGGTATTCAGCTAAGAAGTGAGCCATGATCTATCCAACCCGTCAAACGAAGCCCAAGGGACGGGGGACCCGCTCTCCCCGCGAACATGATTGATGGAAGAAATAAACATTCCCCAGACGGCCCCAGATAGGATGGGAAGGGGAAGGGGGGGGGCGCCAACGCCGCCGCAGTCGCGCCGCCTCTTCCACCACAAGGATCCCGAACTCCAAGACAGCCCTTGAAAGTTGAAAGGATCCTTGGATGTGCGCACGCCCACGCTAAACACCGAAGGCGTTGCCGCAGGCGGCCGTTCTCGCCAGTGTTCTGCGGGTATCACCTGAAGGACTGCTGGGGGGTTGTCTAGGCTGGACTGGACTGGGAGATGTGCAAATACTGTCGAGAAGGATGTTGAGGTGAAGCTCCTTTTGTCGACGAGTCCGAGTCTTGTCTATATTCCTACACATCCTCACAGGAGACTAGTGAGCTGACGCATGCTGCGCGTCTGTGGCATGGTGCCGTTCGTACCAGACGGATGAGGAGATGGAGAATTTGATAGGATGCTGAGACAGGAAGTGATGTCCAGGAGTAGCTGGAATGACTCTCGATCGTCGTGTTATGTGATTCCATTAGCTTACCGAGAGGACGGGACGGCGGTCTAAACACAAGGCTACCCTACGTGCCTACGTGCCTCCCGGAAACCTACCTCGTAGGCCGGACCCCAGCATCGTTCTCGGGTTTCGGCACCGGTTGCACACCAACTTGGTCGCATGACGGGAGAGAGGGTGTGGTTAGTTTGGCCTGGGCTACTTCTCCTTAGTTTGATCATTTGGGAAGAAGCTGAGCAGCCTCTGGTCTGCTATGGCCTGCAGATGTTCGCGTGATCAACCTTCAGAGAGCTGGACTCGCGTCACGCTTCTTCACGTGGCTGGAGTTCCTTCTAGGCCGCGGCTGGTACTGGCTTACTTGGAACAATCAATCTACCCTCTTTCGAATAGTCAGACTAATCTTGAACAGCTCGGCGTTTCTAGGACTCTACGAAAAGCTCCCTCGACGCAAGCCCGACGATGAACAGAAGCCCTTTATGCCAACGTGCTCGCAGGCAACCCCATACCCCAACGATACTCCTCCTTCGAAGGCAACACGATTCGACAACTCACGACGGTCCAAGAACCTGCAAGACGGTGTACACAACGTGGCCAAACCCAAAAGCCTGCCCATACATAGACCCTCAGCGAATGATACTGGATACCCTTGATAACGCTTCCGAGATACCTGGATCTCATGGCATCTGGATCTCATCGTTATCTCATGCTCGCGACAAGCCATAGTCTGTGACCGAGGAGCCTTGAGGCGAAACACATAGTCTAAACAAGTCTACATAAGGTAGCGAGCTGTCGTCTCGACAGCCACGCTCGAAGCTCAGCATCTTTTCCATCCACCGAAGGGCTTTCTTCAGATGTGCCTCAGCTTTGGAATCGTATCCACGAGTTGACATTCGCGCAGATGCCTAGAGCTCGTGCCGCCCTATCACCATGTCCTCCTGAGAACACACTTCCATGTTTACCCCCTCGATCCCCGAGACTTGAATCATGTCCAGAAGCAGAACCGATGGTATTGGCCCAGAAACTTGCCATGAAGAAATACATGAAAGTAAAGTGACAATAGTGAAATCATCAGTGCGAGGACGAGAAAATGGTATCCTCGTCTACTACTGAGCTTCTGACGGCTGTACTTGCCGGAGATCGCCTCTTTAAGTCACGGTGGGCATTTCTCGTAGTCTTGGTCCTCGCTACTTCGAATGGATAGATGTACAGCCTAGGAGGATTGTGTAGAAAAGACTAAAGAGAGCCACAAATGGACACGGTTGGTCATTTGATGTGAAGGAGCCATGGTAGTTGATGGAACTTTGACCCTCATTGTCACTGTGGACAACTCGCTGTGTGTATTGGATACGCTGAATCTATACTAGGTCGCTTCAACCAATGAGATCCAAGTTGTCCATCATGCAAGAAGCCCGATCTTAAGCGGCAGCATCAACCGTCCGACTGGTCTCGTTGATCGCTAGGTTGGCCAAGCCATTGACACCAGCTTCTTCGTTGGCAACCTCCTTGCCCTTCTTTGAGGTGGTCTTCTTCTTGCGCTTCGCAGTCCCGAGGCTTACGGGCGGCGCCTCGAGAATCCACTTGGCGATGGCGGCTGCGCGCTCAGTGAGTATGGGGTACTCCCTTCCATCGTCAACGCTCCATCGGCGCAGCGCAGGGGAAGTTTCTGCAGTCTCAGACTTCCCGTTCGAGCTATTCTTCAAACTCATAAAATACTCGTGATCCTCCTCAGAGCGTTTCTGACGAGCAGTGATGGCCGCACGAAGTGTAACCTCGTCGACAACTCGATCATCATCAAGCGCGTCCATAATAGCCTGCTGCCTAATTCTCTCCTTTCGCTGTTCCTCAGTCTCGCCAATGTCTGGTAACGTGCTGGCATCCCTTGTAATCGCAGCGGCTGCAAGGGCGGCGGCGTTATGAGACGAATGGGATGTGTCCTGCTGCACGCCAAGCGATCCATCAAGAATCGGGAGCGGTGCTGGGGCACACAAATGTTCCCAGGAAGCACTCATTTGGATCCAGTTTTCCGCCCGGCGCAGCACCTCAATCCAGTCTGCCCTCGCTGGAGACCTACTCGCTTGGAACAGCGGGTAACCGTCCGCGAGCCGAGCGAGACGGGCAACCATGTGTGCGTGGCGTAGAAGCTCTTTTGTAGAAGTCTGTACCAAGCAGTGGCAGAGTAGTAAAGAATGAAGGGCCTCTGTGAGTAGGGGATGGTAGGTGATAGTTTCGTAGTTGTTCGGCTGTACAGGTCCTGACGAGCGGACCAACTCCTGAGAAGGGTATGGCGGAATGTCTGCAGGTGGAACAGCGGCAAAGAGTTCAGACAAGGCGAACGCCTTATAGGGAGGTATGCTTCCCGAGTCCGGAACACGAGGATTCCGATAGCCTTGCGCCGCAAGGTTCACTTTTTCAGTAAAATCTCGGGCGATCTTGAGCGGTTGATCTGGCGTATAGTGGAAGTTTGACAGATAGGCCATGTAGTCCCGAAGGGCCTTTTTGGCGTACGTCTTCACCACTTTCCGTTTCTCCAACCGTATGTGCGCTGCCTCCTTGTCCGCCGTCATCAATTCCGGGCTCTGCCCATCGATCTTGTCTAAGGTGGTAGCTCCGTTCGCGCCATTGGCCCGACCAGTGTCTCCGTTCGCAGGAGTATCCGGAAGACCAGCGGCTACGTGTTGGCAGGCAATAGTCAAGTACGCTCCTGCTCTTTGAAATAACAGCTGTGTTTCCAAGCTGCTAGGCTGCTGTTCCTCGGTAAGGATGACGTCTGGGATTCTTCTGGATGCTGTTACTAACTCAACTTCCTGGGAAGCTAGTGCCGCATGAGGTGGCTGATGATAGCGGTGCACTTGCAGAGCGAGACTCAAGTCCGAAGCGGCCCCTATGTAGTCGTCCTTAAATATTCTGACAGTCGCTCTGGTCCGCAGCACCTCAGCTTCGGTCGGGTGCACCGATATAATGTTATCCAAGGGCGCTAGGCTGGTACACTCGGCCAGCTGTCGCGAGGGTATCTTCTCGTGGAAGAAGTGAACGTATCTCGCATCGGGATCATCTCTGCTGCGCTGTAACACTAGGGAACCGATCTCCTCAAGAGTTGAAGCACCTTGCATAGTAGCGACACTGCAAGCGATTTCATCCAAACGATATGCGCGGGCTAGCTTCTGGCTCGCCTGCTCTCTCATTCGAAATTTCCGCTCTTTGCTCAGTTTTGTCCCGTGACCATTCCCGACGCCAAAACCTAACGACGACATGTGTCCGTTAAGTCCGCCATGTACGTTCGTCAAGGTTGGTGTCGCGATGTCGCTAGCAGCGCGGACAGCCAGGTTAGTCGCCTCGTCTACTAATCGGCGAATCTTGAGGAGGTCGAAGAAGACGGCGGGGTCGATCGGACGGGGTGCCGGGGTGTTGTAGTTGATGTTCGCAATGGTTTCGAGGATCTCAATAGGCATCTGGAGCCACGGGCCGTGGAACGAAGAGATGAAGCGCCAATGCCTGTTGCGCAGTGTGTCAGCGAGCTGCAGTCGGGGGTAGAGTATCGCTATTCATAGTTGCGCATTATTCGCTAGCCACCCATATTCTCTGCAGCAAAGGGAGACCAAGGAGTATCGCGATAGGGAAGACGGACTTGTTGCGACATATTATGAGCGCAGGAGCAGTATCAGCCGCTGCGTTTGCCGATCGCCTGGAGACTGAGTTCTTGGATGAGCCATTGGAAGAGGACTGCGATGCGCTCTCACTAGACACGCCATCGCCGACATCTTCAACCGTAGTTTGCTTGCTCTTCTTCTTTGCCATAGTCGCCCGCGCACAACAAAAACCCCCTTGCTGCGAAATAGAAAGAGTTTTACGACGCTGTCAAGTCGCAAAGCACAAAGAATGGTCGACCAGTTTCCCTTGGGTCGCAAGGTTGACTGGCTTCGAGCGATGATGAAGGTGGGGAATTATCGTCCAATTGATATTGAGCTCATGGTAGCAAATTTGTTTATTCCGATGCAAGTATTCTCGTGTGTCTCGTGTGATGTTGTCGTCGACAAAGTTCGTATGGCTACCGTTCCTGCGCGAGGTGCGCGACTGCTTGGCCGCCGCTTTCCATCCATCATTTGTCCCTGAACAAGTTCGTTACTTCCTTCCCTCGACACATCGAGGGGCACCCGAGGAGAGCTCGACTCACGTGATGAGTCATGTGGCTATATCGTAGATAAGATAAGATAAACATTATCTCGATAAGTCAGGTGCGTTCTTCTCGCCCTTCACTACCTCAACCTGCGCACATGTTAACACACCAGAAACTCCACGGCGAGCGCCACAATGTTATCAAGGAATATTTGTGGCGTTTCTATGACATCCAAATCAACATATGAGCTAGTAAACTCGAATTGCCCCGGCTGCCTCCTCATCTCCAAACGCTACCCGTAGCATGCACCCACCCAGCTCAAGGCATATTCAGTCTGAAGATGTTTCATCTCAATGCGGAATTCTGGCATGGCAGCTGTCGAAGCTGATGAGGGGTAAAGCTTTGGCGTTCGGACTCAAAGCCTGCCCGAGCTCCGATGACATACTTCAAATGAGATACAGTTGCACTGGACTGGACGCCAGACACAGGAGACCGAATGCGTCGGCCGTGCTTGAGGGAACGGGCTGACCACACATACGTCTCGCATCTGCGTTGCTAAAGTTTGGAGGATCTGGCCGTCACTGTCACACTTGCAGATGGAACAAGTTGTTTCTCATTGGACTATGAAACTAACGAGGAACTTTTGCTATCGCTTAGTGCATTAAGCCACCCCCAAATCCTCGGATCCTCGGGCTCAGCTGCTGGTCTAAGTCCCATTCGCAGGCTGGAGCCACTCCTTGCCGTCGATCGTGGTCGTCAGGGTACCGTTGGCTTGGAATATGTTTGTCAGGATATCAATACTCAACCGGAAGCCATCAGGGCTGCTCTTCTTGGTCCCATTGTTCGGCCCCGTCTGAACAAGGTCCGAGTACCAGTCAATCTCCTCCACTGTCGGACTCGGATTAACTGAAGTGACCTTCTCGGATCCTACCAGCACGTTTGTGCCGTCATCAGAGAAATCGTGGTACTCGACGGCCACTGTTCCCGGCAGGCCACCTCCACTATTCGGAGTGATGATTATATTTGCCCAGCCACTGGCCATGCCCTTGAGGGTGAAGTTTCCGTTCGTCGGGAATGGTCTCTCTGGGACGTGGGACCCAGGCACGTATGGTGTCGCCCAGGGAATGGTATCGCTCAGAGGCTCGACAGGCTGCGGTGCGAGAGGCTGCCGGCTAGTCAGATGCGCCAGCATCATGCGCTCGGTGCGACCTCCGGGTGCCGTGGACGGATAGCAAGGCAAAGGATTCTCCCCTCCGCATTCCGGAGACACAGTGAGCGCCTGATAGTACACAATATGGGTACCATCGTTGGACCACTTCGGGTCAGCGCGGCCGTTCCACTCGGGATCATTGATGGCGCCGCTCCCGGGGACACCGCTTCCCTCAGCGTTGAGTTGCTGTCCAAAGTACGATTCTCGGTCACCATGTCCATCGATGAGCCATGGCTGGAAGAAACGACGACCCCGGTTGTTCCTCGTCGATGAAGCAGCGCTCGTGGCGACCAAGTCCGTCAGTGGCGGGATACCGCGCAGCCCTGCCATGAACATTTGGCGTCCGCTGCCACGGGTGTCCATGGCCACAGTCCATTGATCATCTGGGGATATATCCACCGGATCCGTATACTCCGGGTGGGCGGTCAAGCGCCGGACCTTTCCAGTGGCGAGATCCGCAGCAAAGACGTCAATATTGGACGACTCGACCGGGTAGCCAATGTAGGTGACTTCTTTACCGGTCCCGCTGAACCCGCGAAGCTCTCCAACAGTGATGGCATCATAGTTGATGCGGAGTAGAGTGCTATCCTCCGAGTCAACCTCAACAGGCTGCGTATCGTTCAAGCTGAACAACAGGTTGACATTGGCCAAGTCATAACGAGGAACGAGTGGCTCGCCAGTTGTTGGTGCTTTATTAAGGACTAGCCTTCCGATATACGCGAATTGGCTGACTTTGCCGGACGTGACAGTGAAGGAGTTGAAGCCAAGATGCTCATTATCGGGATGGATGCGCAACTCGCGAATAGTACCGCCGATGCCTGACCCGTTCACGGCCGTGTTCCATCGAATTGGGTAGATGTGGACTTGGTCAGGGGTGCAAGCTTCGCTGACAAGTTTTACTGAACACTCGATGATTTGCGGCCCAGCAAGTAAGCGTTTGCCGTCGTTGAAGATTTGAGGATAGTCGTGGTTCGCGACACGCCCAGCCTGATTCTCCGCAGGCACGCCGCAAGTGATACACTTCCACGCATCTCCATTTGGGAACGTGCTATTGTCGATCTTGACAACGATCAGCTGTTGCCCGCTGTATATGCTCGCCGGGTCCGGTGACGCAGGGGCGCCGGTGAAGTTCACCGTCGCGACAACGTGGAGATCGTCCGGCAGGAAATCCCCGTTCTGGAGAGCGGGGGATTTCCCGATGCACCCGGTGCCGTGGGGGTTGATCTCCAGAGTACATCCTCCGACACCCTCGTCCGCGGTGACTGGGGGAAGCGGGAGCTCTGTGATGGTGATTGGTTCCGGCGCGGGGGGAGGCGGGACGACAGCTTGCCGGTCTACGATCTTGGAGTTTCCGGTATCGAAGGCGTTGCCGTGGGTATGTCTGCTGAAAGGAGCCTGGTCTTCGCGTTCGTCTGCGGGCGCAGCATGCGCAACGCACACGGCGCAAAGAATGCTGGTAAAAGTAGACGTGAGGCGCATGTTGGGCGACTACTTGCCGATACCTGTGATAGACGGCTGGCATCTAAAGCTGATCTAGCCGAGGAATGTAAGACGAAACGGGTCTTTTATGAGCGTCTACAAACCCCGGGTTTCTCATCTTGCCGAGAGATCATCCTGCAACCTGATGACTTTCTAATGTCCCGGCGAAAAGATCCATCCCGTAGTAACCACGGGAAAATCTCGCCTAGCAAGACCACAGATGCACATAGGCCAGGAACCCAAGGTTGACGAGGACGTAATACCAAGACAAACGGCGTCTCCCGTGATGTTTAGCGCCGATCTCAATGCTTGAAAAATTGTATGGCTTCCGAAACGTCGAATTGGGGCGGGTCTTTGGTATACGCGGAACGAAAGTCTTGAATACGGCGCATATGGAGTCCATACGCGTATGCACTCTCGGCTGTGTTGTCTGTAAGTACGTGGTGATGGGTTGTCCCACCATTGGTGATCACTGATCAGAACCTTAGAATAACAATATGCAAAGTCGTACTCAAGTGGTCAATACGACTACGACTGAGAACAATGCTGCCACCAAATAGTATTCATGACAGTTCCTTGCCGCAGGGCATGGCTCAATACTTGTAGCGCCGAGGTATAGTATACCTGTTGGAACCATCTAACCCCACCATGATAGATACTCCAAGTTGAGGCTAACTTGTTATTGGTAGTTCATAGGACGGCTTTGGCTGGTTCGGGATACGTGGTCCTACGTCTTGGTTGACCGGCCCGGGAACTTGTCTCATGAAAGGCCCGATTGCTTTATAAACATCAAAATACGAGTGAAGACTAGACCATGTGTTTTCGTAAGATTTTGTTCAAGGGTAATATGAAATATGTACGTGAGATGCTGTATTACTTGGTTCACGATAACCCAGCAATAAAGACCGATGTCTGCAGGCCAAGCAGTCCTTTCGTGGCAACCAAGCCCCCATCGCCCATCTTCCAAGCAACATCGCCCCAAAGCACCTCGATTACCTTGCCAACTTCCACATCATCCGGCAACACAACTCTGATCTCGCCTTGAATCTCGTCATAACTCAGATTCACCACACTAACAAGCACCTGGTTCTTCGCCTCATCAACCCACACCGCCGCATCAACCCGCTTCGCGCCTTCAACAGCAAGATCCTGCGTCCTCTCCGTGCCAAGTAAGAAACCCACAGCGGCCTCATTCGTAAAGACACCAGCCAACTTGCTCGTCAGGCCCTCCAGCTCCGGCGTGGCGGGGTAGTTCCACATCACGATGCCCTTTGCGCCGTGGTTGACCGACAACACCGTCATGACGACCTCCTCTTCGGCGGTCGGGTACCTCGCCCAAAAGGTCTCGTTGCCAAAGGCCTGCGGCGCAAACCACTGCGTCTTCTGCCATCCCAGGATCTCGTCGCGGCGGTAAAACTCGTCCAGCCGCACGGAAATGTCTTCAAAGTTGCCCTCGCAGTCGTCGCAGCCGCAGCATCCATACGTCGCGTTACACTCCGTGCCATACACTGTCGAAAATGTCGCATTGATGGCAACGGGGTAAACATCGCTCATGATGATGTCCGCGCCGGCGCCGTACTCGGCGTAGTGGAAGTCCCAGCAGTTGAGGGCGAGGGAGACTGGGTGATATGGGTCAATCGCCTTGATCTGCTCGTACGCCATGCCGGTAGAGTTGGCCGGGTTCGCCTTGCCGTCGGCCTCGTCGCTCTGGTACCACAGCAGGATTGACGGGTGGGTGCGCAGACGGGTGACTTGGTCGACCATATTTGTGAGGTTCGGCCAGGTCCAGAGGACGTCGTAGCGCAGGTAGAGGCCCAACTCATCGGCACGCTGGAGGTATGGCTCGAATTCGTCCCAGGGGAAGGGCATCTCGCCGAGACTGCCTGTGGGCACGATGTGGATTACGTTGTAGCCCATGGCGGCGAACTCGTTGAGGGTGTCGACGCTGTCGTTCCAGTACAAGGTCCATTGTGCTGTTTCAAAGTCAGTCAGAAGCACGGATTTGGCTATGAGGGGAAGTGCTTACTGTAGTAGGTGTAGGCGAAGATGAGGTCCCAAGTGGCATCCTTGCCTCGTTGCGCTAGAAGTCCACCGTAGAGATTGTCGATGCGCGACACACTTCCGTAGTCCTCTGGGTACGGAAGATACGGGAACTCGGTCCAGCCTTCATACACATGCGAAGAGTCCAACGTTGTGCGAATCGTGATGTTGTATGCCTCCATGCGCGGAGTAAGCGAGTCTAACGGAAGAGCAACCTCGTTGTCGCGAGATCCTAGAACAACTTCTTCGGTTGCTAGGACATCTTCGCCGAAGAGGATTTCAACTGTCAGCGGCTTGGATGTCGAGTTGGTGTAGTTCGATCCATAGCCGACAGGCAACGGAGAGCCGACTTGGTTCGATACGGCGGCGTCGATGAGCAAGTTGGCTGTCGCGTCGGTCTCAAGGTAGATGCTCAGTCGCGGTCGTACTTTCAGTCGCAGAAGGGGGACGCTGGAGACGGCTGGCTCGGGGAACCATCCACCGGGGTCAAAAGACGAGTTTCTGCATTTAAACTGTGAGCACTTGACCGGCTGGAATTGGTGCGATCGGGCAGATGCGACTTACGTTGCGCGATACGCCTTTCCGCACCAGATGTCAACTCCTTCCGGGTTGTTGAAACGGACGGCCTGGCCGTTGACCCGCGGGAGCGCCGCGATCAAAGCGGCGGTAGCTGGAATGAGCTTGCCGAACATCATCTTGCGGTGAACTCTCTCACAGAGGTGTTGCGAATAGCATCATGCTCGTCGGACTCATGTTTAGAAGCCATTGGGCTTATATGAGCGAGGGAGCCAGCCACTGACCCTAGTTTACGCAATTGGATTGTTGCTTTGGAGATGCAATCAGGTGGATCACCACCGGATGCGCTATCAATGGTCCGACGTGCCATCGCCGCTGAGTGATTAGCGTTGTCATGACCCTGATCAGGAAGCTATCATGGACGGCAATGAGGGGAACGCGCAGGGTGAGGGGCTCTCCGACTTGGGAATTTGTGAACAGCGACGTTACATCTCTCCAAATCTCCAACCTTGCGCATGTTTAACCGGCTCGTGGGCGGGGAAAGACTTCGGCACTGAGGATAAAGAGTGCCGAAATCATGGAAGAGCCGGAGCGGTCACCGGCGAACGGCCGGTCTTCCGTGCTGTGTTGCAAGAATGGCTTCCCGCGTGGGCAACGAAAGCTCGAGGCCTACTGCGACTTGGTACGTTGTGTTTGTTTACACTAGCAAGTTCGGCTATATTCTGCCATTGTCTTCCGCATGACTACTCTGGCAAACCCGGTTCTTTCCTCAGCCTTGATCAATTGATTGTGGTGCTGAAATGCAGGTTGAAGCTGTCCTAACGTTTGTTGACCAGGGGCGATCGCTGAGGTGGTATCCTGGTGACTGTGGTCATTGTGGGGATGCAGAGATAAGCAAGGGTCGCGACAGAAGCTCATATCATGATCGTCCGTCACATCAACGCACTCCGATCTTCGGGGCTCTTTGACATGGTTTGCGCTAACCCTTTAGCAGCTCTTCTGTTCGCAACGTTCAGATGCTCCATCGCTGGTGTTTGTAACCATAGATCCGGTTACATGAGCCGCTATCCTTTGCTTCGTACGGCACCAACATAGCCGATTTTAGAACAGGGCGTGAAGATCCAGCGTTGCACCACCTTCTAGGAAAGAAACCGTGGCCATGGAACCGGGACGCACTTTTGGTAAAGGCTCCGTTCCATCTAAGATAGGTACACTTCTTCAATGGTGTTTTTGATATCGGAAACGCTCTTCCATGCTCACACGAACCCTTGATTCATCAGAGTTGCCAGGGGCATATGCTCGTCTCTACAACAAAGATGTCGAGACATTACCTTCTTTGCCAGAGCCGGAAGCGAAGCTGTCTCATATTCCTTGTCCCAGAGATCACTCTCTCGGACGGCGTTGATCGACTCCAATATACTGGCAATCTCGCGGCTATCCCACATGCCTTCTCTCCGCTTCATAGAGTAGAGCAATGAAATAGCCCTCGACTGTAACTCAGGCTCTCCTGAGAAAACCGCAACCACAACTAGCGGTGGAATCGTATCTGCAGCAACGGCAAAATGCGGTAGCTGCTGTGAAGTTTCTTTCCCGGACGGGCAAAAGGCTTCAGCTCTGTCAAGCATATTTCTCCAGACAGCTGGAGCTACGGTTTCAATAGCGGAAGTTTCGCAGTGCTTAATGATCATCTCCCAATCATTTTGGATAAATGTCAATATTTGCGCCTCTCTCAAAGCCTCTGCAGAAGACAATGGATCAGACTGCCATATCTTGATGCTCAAATCAACTCTGGCGCTCCACTTGTCCAATTGATTCCGTGCCTTTGTCCAAGCCGCGAACGACTCATCTTCGAACGGAGACATGTCGCCGGGCAGATCCAGAACAGACGTCCAAGAAAGTGGCGAACTCTGGCGAAAATTGAAGCCCATGATAGAACCCAATGACTTCTCAACACGATGAAGCTCGAGTCGTGCTTCATCCAAGGTTTTGAAAGGATCATGTTCAGATGCCTCTGGTTTATCTGGAGGCCGTAAGAAGAAGTCCAGATTAGGGGTGACCTCTGTCTCGAGCAGATAGGCCGTGTCAATCCCAATACATGAGAACATGGTGGCAATATCGGAGAGTTGATCAAAGTACTCGTTGGCTGTCTCCGCGAGACATAACTGTGAAGGGGACAAGCCTTCAACTCCGTTCATTTCAAGACTCTCTGCTGCCTCTCGAAGAGAGCCAAGAATCTTACAACCACCCCGCAAATGCTGTATTGCTTTGTCATACCGCCCCTCTATTACTTCGAAACAAACGAAGACAAGGCAAGAGACAAGGGAAGTCCTAACGGACGTAGTAGAAAGAGACTCTCTGTCCGCTATGGTTGACTTTAGAGCCTTGCCATAGTAGCACAAGGCCAGACTGGCGAAATCTTGATGTTCCGTCACTTTGCTAGCATGCGAGTACCCATCAAGGAAAGCTCTATGCGACAAACCAAGGGCCACCAAAGCATGTTTGACGGAATCTGAATAGTAACCCAGAGGTATGATGTAGTTGTTCCAAAGCTTGGTCATCAGTGCCAAGTTTTGGAATCCAGGTATGGTAACCCGGCGAACATGATGGAACATGCATTTCTCGATTGGAGTTCCGTCAATGTCCCAATCTAGCGACGGTGGCATTTTCCCGGGGCGTTGCGTAGGCTGGTCTAGGTGTCGTTGACGTGCCACATCGTGACTGCCAGCCATTCGATGTCTTTGGCGCGTTCGGCGGGCCCGACGCGCTGCTTGATTGGCATCCTGTCTATGATTGTGAGCGAAACTCAAAGACCTAAGCAGTCACGCAGTGTCGTCAACGCTTACTTCATGTTGCTATAGAAAGTTAGGCCCGAATGTTCAAAGAAGGACATTGTTGCTCATGTGGCACCACATACCCCGTGCTGTGTCCGACCAGCGGCTCAAGTGCCGTTGACGCTGCCGGCGCAAAACTGTTCGAATGACTGGTGAAACAGTGGGACTTGCTAGTGTCTGCCATTTTCGAATTCTCGTAAACTGGGACGAAAAGTCTTTGCCCCGATGTGCTCCAGAGAGGCTTTCGGAAACTTAGTCTGGTTCGACTGACAGGTGTCAAGAACTCAAGGCCGGCCTTTTAGGGAGATGAGGCACCAGCTGAGAGTTGAACGCGTGTTTCAGGGAAGTCATCAAATTTCCTCTTTTGTGCAGCTCTCGGCACCCCTGCACAGCCACCTATCGCCCCACTGGGCTAAGCCTCAAGTGGAAATCAAGTACAGTCTGAATCATTGGTTGAAGCCGATATTATGCTCACTTGACATCAAGAATGTCAGCTTATTGAGTGGGCGAATCGTTCTTAACGCGTGCTCTGTGGCCCATTTGAGTAAGCCTTGGGTAACTTACTCAGAGGGTGTCGCGCCTTACGATCAGAGGCTGTTCTCTCACGACACTATGCTGGAGGAAGTCCCAATAGGATAGCGCTTTTTTACCTAGCAGCCGTTGGAAAAAAAGGAAAAAAAAAGCCGATGACTGGCGGTAAAGTCTCTGTTGGTGAGGAAATCGTCTAGACAACTACTTTCGGAGTTCTCTGAAAGGGTGGTTGTTAACACTGAAAAGTTAATTACAACATGAAAGACTTGGACGAGTAGATGGACTAGATTGGTATTAATATCAGCCGGCATTTATAGCAGCACTTACAAGTGATAAAACCCAATAGGCATTAGTCAAGGCCCATCGAAGGAAACGTTGCTAAAAAGGAAGCCATTTGATCAATCCATACTAGGTGTCCCAGTCTGCCGATGAGCAACACTGAAGGACCAAGGTTTTCAGAAAGGTTCGGCTGTCAAGCATCGCGATCTATCCCAATATCTCCAATGATCTCTCTAGAGACTTAATGTTAAAGGTATGGCATTGCAATCTGGGAAGGTTGGAAAAAGTCTGTGAGAACTGTTGTATCAAGATTCATGAACTACCTATAGTGAAAGTGGTAACTTCAACCAACCTTTTCCCGTCTTAAATGTTTTCAGTGACTTCATGGTGTTGAAATGAGTAGGAAAGGTGATTCACGGAATGAGGGAAGTTTCTGCTGCCAAGACCACTAACTATCTGACAACAATGGCGCATAGGTCTAAGTTTACCAGTGACATCAAGCTATAGCTTGTACACAGCTTACTTTACAACCTGTGAATATCATAAGCTGTAGAAAGATGTGTTGGTTCTTATCGTGCGTAATCTTTGTTCGATTATCTTCAATGCTGTGTTCCAGGCGTTATTATTGCTCGAAATGAAGAGCGTCATTGATGCTGTCCCTTTTGGAAGGCGTTCTAATGAGGAAGGAGAGACAACTACAGGGTGGGATGTTGAACACTTAGCTGTCCAAGCATGATGGGACTAAGCCATCCATCGGACATCGGGAAGTTCGCTTAGTGCTGTGACTATATGCGGCATTCCAACATCTTTTCTAGGATTCTGTAGTATGGAAAGGAAGCCCATAAGGCTGTCGCAGATGATGACATCGAGTACCTGATTGAAGCAAAGATTTGGCCATGAATACTGATTCAGGCATCAACATGTCGCTAGGTAATTAGATAAGATATCACAGCAACAAAAAACGCTCCATATAGTATTAGAATTGGAATTTATCGCAATTGACCCCAAGAGGCATTGTAGCAGACAAGTTTTGAAAAGCGACGCTTCTCATCCAATACTTGACCTCATAGTGATGCACTCTTGGCCGGCGGGTGTGAATGCGGCTCACTGGTATCTCGGGTATCGAAGTCCTTGTCTGAAATTGCAGATCCCTCCAAGCAAGTACAACTTGCAGCAGGTCTCACAGAAGTTACATTGTGATGTTCCAGCAAGCTCAGATCAATGCTGATCCGGGGGATTAGACTATCCATGTCTTACTGGATACTCAATAAGACCGCAAACACATAATCCGACTTGGAGGCCCCATCGCTTAGACTCATAGGCACCCTGAGATCTTTGAGATATGCTTCATGGGCCGTGGATGATCATCGAAACGGAAGAGGACGTGATCGCCGTTAGAGGTTTCTACTTTATCCGGGAGCCGAAGGATCCACAAGTTTACGGATACAACATCACAGTCGACGAGATGACATTGCGGCTTCGTGACTCCAACATCTCGTCTGACGGAGAACATCCCGTAAAGATGTCAGCTCCACGCACGTAGAGACATGCCAAGATAACCTGGGCATTCATCCAATGGCGCCCCCCAAGAAGACTCTCGTCGGTCCGGTTCGCGAACTGACGAATTTCATCGTTAACTGTCAGAACAGCATCATGCGTTCGTTTGCTCCCTGTCTCAGGCGCCGATGTGGCCAATCGCCTTACACCCTTACGCAGTGGAACACGAGACAGGGACAGGGTTGACCGTTTCGGCTCGACAGGGGGTGTTGAATGCCGCCGATCGGCAGCGGAGAAATTACTAAGATCGGGGTTCGAAGGGAAAGATCCGACTCAACCGACCTAGCCCCTCGGGGATTGATGTTTGATAGAGTCTGGTGTTTGCTGCCCGCCGTGATCATGGTATCGTAGCACCAGGTTGTTACATCGCGGATAGAGGGACTCGAACGACAGTCAGGAGATGGGAGCACAGAGGTCGGACCAGGTACGCGAGTGAAAGCGAGACCGGGACAGTCTGACCATTTGCTTTCTCAAATGGATTTCTATCTGGTCTCAACCTTGGTCCCTTCATGTTAAGACCACATTTCTCACGTGGTCGAATACGAAAGCTTGATAATGACAGTTCTCAAGCGCACTGGGCCTCTTTAGAACGTAAAAGAGTAGAAGCCGCAGGAGTGTCTTTAAGAGGAATCAGAGCTGGGCGCAGCACCGCAGCACTACAGCATCTACCATTATCTCTCCGCGATTTCGCGCTGTAGAACGTGGGAAGCACAGACAGTAGACTTCAGCCCTTTGAGGCTCACTCGACCCTCGCGTATGAATGATGCTGTATTGAACATGGTTCCCATACCCTCGTCCCGAAACTGTAGAAGGCGACCCCAGTCTAGACGAGGGAGCCAATCGCAACTTCCGGAGCACGACGTGGGGGATGATCTGCAAATGGGGACTGGCGGATTCGGCCGAGCGATCCAAGCGGCTCAACTGCGCGACATCCTACATGCAGGACCCCTGGATCCCAAGGGGCACAATCTGACGTTTCGTTTCACGATATTTTAAACATTCCAAGGATGGGGCCAGCTTGAGGACCAGTTTCGAGCACAGAGTCTGTAAGATTGTCCAATTATTTACAAGGGTATGATTCGTTCCATACTACAATTGACAGGGTTTGTACAACGACGTGATTAAGAAGAAAGATTCCATGCTCTAGTGCTTTGTAAGAAGAACGGGATGATATGTTACAGAGAACAGATTTTTTGACCAACGTTTTAGGCAGGCCTTCAAACTAATACCAAAAAGCACCAAGCACCGAGGGACCCTTTTCCCTGCTTTCCCACCCACACCACAAAATGCAGACCCCCCGTGATAAACACATGACTAACACAGCAGAGAAGAAGAAGCAGACAGAGAGACACACACACAACCACTTACACCCAGCCCTGTAGGGCCCACCACACGTGTCGCCTCAAGCTTTCCGCCACAACATCAGACTTCGGTCGCAGAGGGCGGGATTCGTACTAGTGCCCCCCTCGGCCAAGTCCGCCAGCGAGAAGTGGGCGCTTATCGTATCGGGTCTCGAACTTTGCGCGCAGCCACCTTTGGGGAATTGGGGGAGGGTAGGTGACCCCTCGTGGCAAAGGTGATGGCGTCTAGTTGCCAGCGGGGCTTGGCGAACCCAACGTTGCGGGCTTGAGGGTCGAACCGCCTTGGCTTTGCGCCTGCTGTGATTGTTGCTGAGGCTTCCCTTGGCCTTGGTTGTTATTGCCGTTATTCGCGTTGGTGTTGCCAGAGCCAAGAGTAGCAGGCTGAAGACCAGTGCTGGCGTTATTCTGGTTGCTATTGGGAGCTCCATTATTGCCTTGGTTGTTGCCCTGGTTGTTGCCCTGCTGGTTGGTGTTCGTGTTGGTATTGGTGTTGGTGTTCGCATTTCCATTACCATTGCGGTTGCCCTGATTCTGGTTCTGGGGACGACCGTTGTTGTTGCCCTGGTTCTGGTTGGTATTGGTGTTCGTGTTCGTGTTGGCGTTGCCATTGCCATTGCCATTATTGCCAACTCCCTTGCCAATATCCTGACCACCGTTCCGGCCGCCATTGTTGCCCTGATTCTGGTTCTGGTTGCCGTTTGCTTGATTTTGGTTATCATTGCCCTGGTTCTGGTTGTCGTTGCCCTGGTTCTGATTGCCGTTTCCTTGGTTCTGGTTGCCGTTTCCTTGATTCTGGTTCTGGTTGCCATTTCCTTGATTCTGATTCTGGCCGTTGTTGCCCTGGTTCTGGTTGTTGTTCTGACCATTGCCATTCGCATTTCCGTTGGTATTTCCATTTCCATTGCCAGCCTTCGGCGGCGTAGTCGCAGCAGGTGCAGCGGGAGCACCGCCCGCTGGCGGCGGAACAGCGGGAGTGACGTTGGCACCCTCAACCTCCAAACATCCCGTGGGACGAACGGACTGAATGTTGGCGGCGCCAGCGGCAGCAAAGTACATGTCGATGTTGGGAAGGACATTGACACAACGGTTCTGGTTGATGGAGTTGACGTCCCTTTGCGCGGTGTCGGGACCGTTGGTGACCATGCTCTGCAGGGTATCGACGACCTGCTGGAAGTTACCCTGGGTGTCGAGCACGTTGTTGGCTTGCGTGACCATGTCCGTTCCCTGGAAGGCGGCGTCGAGAACCATCTTGTGGTTAAGCTCGTCGATCTCGGCGTTGAGCGCAATAGTGGCTTGCTTAGTGAACTCGGCGCCGGTGAAGGATGTGGCGGTGTTGAGGAACTTGGTGACCTTTGCGGTATCCTGCATCCAGGACATGACGGCGTTCATGACCTGAGCATCGCTGACGCCATTGCGTCCGGCGCCGCCAGCGTTGGCGGTGTTGTTTGCGCCTTGGCTGGCACCGGCTTGTTGATCCTGCTGAGGAGCCCGAGTATCCAGACGTCTGACACCTCGCGCGAGGAACCGGTGGCTGCCCAACGAGTTGCCTTGCGCCGGGCTAGCAGCTGGCAGGGCGAGGCCGAGAGCAGTCAGGTAAGAAAGGACAAAGAGTTGAACGAAGGAGTACTGCATTATGGCGGTGTTGTTTGGATGTCGTAGAAACTAAAGACTAGCTTGAGTGGACAAAACAAGAAACAACACACACGTAAGGTAAACAAAAGAGATAGGCGATGCGAAAAGAAGAGGTGGTGAGTGTGTATGATTAGGCGAGATGGTCCTAAAGGAGAGTGATTGAGTGGTGGGCCTTCCAAAGGCGTCCGACCACTTCGATGACAAAAAGAGAAAGTTGATTAGGTGAGATGGAGTAAAGAAAACACGACTGAGATCGGAAAGAGTTCACCGGCCCGGAAACGTGTGCAGATGAACAGGACGGTGGAAGGGCTTATATCAAATGTCCACAAGAGGTAGGTTGGTGGTTGAAGACGGAAGAAGACGGAACAAAGTGACTGCTTCTTGGATGAAAAAGATATTGGTCTGAAAGACGTCAAGGGTGAGGGGTAGAAGAGAGATCAGGCGCATCAGCGCTTGGGGAGTCGTGATGGTTGCGTTCGAAGCACTCCAGATGTCGCGGCCAAGAACAATGTGTTGCAACGCCAAGACGAGAATGGCAGGGAAGAGTGTTAAAGCAACGAGCAACCATTAGCTAAGGATAGTTCTAAGAAAAGATAGAAGAGGGGCCAATGGGAAGAAATGGGAACAGACGATATCGAGCAGACGAAAGGGGTCAAAGTGGTTTGAGGAAGTTGGGGTGAGCTGGGGCGACCTGGGGTTTGAGTGAAGTCTGGCGTTGGGCAGGTGAGCAGGGATTCGTCTTCATGAGACTCTACTCGACTCAGCAGGGGACTTCGTGGTAACGCTGCTTGGTGCCTGCATACAAACGCCAAGTCGGAGATTTAGTCCGCCTTGGTGGAGGTGGTGCGTGCTGGCTAGTCGAGTCGAGAGGGCAACTCGTCTCGGGTTATTGGGTGAAGAATCAGGTTAGACTGACCGAGTCAACACCATCTGGCATCTCCGTTGCTCGTGGGAGATTGTGAGAAATGAACAAGTCTTCTGTCATCTGTCTCGTAGAGTACAGATGGTTGTGGCGTCAACTAGCAAGATCCCTCTCTCATGGCCAATGAAGCACACTTGATGGCGAGTCGGGTGATTCTTCAACCCGTCATTCTATCTCAGCATTGTAGTGTCTGCCCATCGGCTGTATCATTCTGAGGCGACGACTAGTTTCTTGATAAAATTTTGACAATGGAGGCTGTCTAGCCCAAGGCCACTCCGAGGGAATGGTCCTCCATGAACATGATCGCCTCTCTGATGCGACCGTGTAAATGAGCACAGACAGCCCGCTAGCGTGCAACCGCTCAATCATACGCCCAGTCAAACTTGCACGAGGGGACCAGCCGCCAATATTCTTATGCTATGAACACGACAGTGATGACGACAGGCAATCTTCCAGAAGCAACGAAGCAGACCGCATGGGTCATGTCACGTAGTAAGAGACGGTGAATGAGCAAGCTGAAGGGTTTTGTCAAGGACTCACTCAAGAAGGATGTGGAGGGGGGAGGAATGTGGGAGGAAAAGCACAGAGTCAAAGAGGAGGGCTATAGCTGAGTCGTAGTAAGCGGGATAAGAGCACATAGGCGCAGAAAAGGCCAGAACATGCAGAGTAGTACAGCTGCAGAGCCGCGCGAGGTCAAGCATTCGCCAAGCATTTTCCCAAGTTGCACATCAGCCGCGACGAAACGAAAATCATCCCCACTTGGACTTGGCAAAGAAGATCCAAACGGGAGAAGCGGGATCCAGGGATCCGTCATAATTATGATCTTCGCCCCCTCTGGCAATGCCACCTTGTTTCTTCAGAGAGACTGGAGGCACTCAACTTACAAGTTACACGGCAAGATGGGTGAGGTAAGCGAAAATTACTGCATAGTCACACGTTTGCCTCTCTGTCCGCCCGGCCTCATCTGATGAAACCCAACACGGCCGGGCTCGAAACGACGAAACTCGTCTCACACTAACCGAAACCGACGAAGCCCTGCCTTGAGCCTCTTTGCCCCTCTCTTCCTCCCACTCGTGACCGGACGAAGAATGCTCCCATCCCCCATCCTCGGCGCGGATCTGTGTCCCTCCTTGTGTGCTCCTTGTGTTTCTTCCTGAGAAGAGAACTGGCAAAGACTGGCACAGTCTGGCACAATCAGGCCAGGCACCCAGACAGGCCATCTCAGTCGGAAGCGTGCTGGTCCGATGATTAAGCCCGATGCCCCCTTACACCTACTTTCCTCCCAGGGGCGCATTCACAACAATAGGATGTGCGGCCGGAAGAGGATGGGAGCGGCGTCTGCAGCGATCTCTCTTGCACAGCCGACGCCAGACAACTCATGCGATTGGAGGATTGAGCTCCTCTTCGGCTGGGCGCTGCTTCTAGGCGTCCGACCACCCGATCAAATTCCATGCCGGTCGTCCACCATGTGGCATGGCAGGTCATCATTGCCATGGGTCTCTACCTTGCCATATATCCAAGACCCAGCCGCGCTTCTCCTCCCGAGGAGATTAAGCTTACTTGACCCTCGTCTGAATGCTGATGATCCCTCGAGTTGGTCGTGCTGCTATACAAACATCTTCCCCCTAGGACCCGTGGGTTTAGTAACGGTGTCTCTCCTTCCCTTGTCATCCTCCTTTTTCCTTTTCGTGCGCTTAACAACCCCGGTGGTTGACCCTCGTTAATCATAATGACGCTCATGAAGTTTTCACATCTTTCTTTTCTGTTTGCTGGCTTAGTCGCGGCTCAGAGTCAATCTGCTCAATTCAATCAGGTCATTAACCTGAATGGAGATGTAAGTCACTTAGTTCCTTGGCATAGAAGTCTTCGGTCTTCATCATGGCCTTGCCTCATAAGAGAGAGATGGTCAAGGTCTCTTCACTTTACTGTCATGTACTAACATGCTATCTTAGATGCAACTGAACAGCCTAGTGTTCCCTGACAACTCCAAGATTGAGACATTCTCGCAGACGCAACGCCAAGTCATCGTCAACCAGAACCCCAACCCTCTCCCGGCAAGCCATGTCGTCGGTTCAACAGGACAGCCTTTCGTTCAACTCTCGCGCAACTCCTTCACTATTCAAACCAATGGAGCCACCGACCTTGTGGGCGCCCAGATCGAGTTGCCCATTGACCAGAACATGCTGTCGCAGGCAGGCGTCACAGCCGATAACACCTTCGTCGCGATGCTGTCGAGGGACCGCCAAGCGTGGATCATTATGGAGGGAGCCAAGAGTGTCAACATCACCGACGCTACCGTCCGCATGGTCAAGTTGAACCAGATTGATGGAGAGTACGTCGCGGTCGGCCGCCAAACGAGTGAACTCGGTGTCTCCTTGACTCCCTTCGGCACGCCTGTCAACATCGCTGGATCTGGCATCCAAGAGGCTGAATTCAACGACGGTTTCCGCATGTCCATCAGAGCTAGCCAGCCGATGAGCATCCGCACGGATGTTGTCAATGGCATCAGCACTGACATGGTCACCAACGGCATCATGTCTATTAGTGAGTGGCCTTGCTGCTTTGAAGCCCACGCTTATTGGGGTGAAAATACGCTAACATAATGACAGACAACTACCGCTACCTCGTCACCAGCAATTTGGCAGGTGTCGTTCCCAGCCTCAACAGCATGACTGCCGTTGTCCAGATGCCGCGTAAGTGTTCTTTCTGCAAATAAGCTTTGTCTCATTGTTGGACTCGGCACTGACCGGAACATGAAACATCAGTCAACGTTGATCGACTCATGGCGATGGCCATGCGCGCAGGTGCCCAGCCCCAGTCCTCCATCACGCTCGGAATTGCCCAACGCCCGGTTCTCCAGAACCCCGGCGGTGCGACCGGCGGACTGCAGGCTCCTCGTTTCAAGCGTCAGGAACCTAACAACGGTACTGCAACTGAGCAACCTCCTGCGAATGGCAATGGTAACGGTAACGGCAATGGCAACACTTCTGGCAATGGTGCTGGAGCCGCGGCCGGTGCTGCTCCCGCTGTTGGCCCGAACAATGGTAACAACGGCAATAATGGAAACAACAACGGAGGAAATTCGCAGAACCAGCCTCAGAACGGCCAGCAGCCGCAAAATGGTCAGCAGCCGCAGCCCGCTGGTCCCGCAATCCCGGCCGCAACCCAGCTTCTCCTCGCTCAAACCTTCAGCCCGATCAACGCCCAGGTTCTCCTTGATAGAGAAAATGCTCGTATTGCCGTTCCTGTCAACCAAATCGACGGCGAGTTTATCCTTACCATGATGGTTGCCGGCACTCCCGTTGGCACCCAGCCTCAGCCTGCTCCTCAACAAGGCGCTCAGCCCGGCCAGCAGCCTCAACAGGGCCAGCCTCGACCCCAGCAGGGTGGAGGAGGTCTGGTCCAGCCTGCCCCCCAGCAGGGAGGCGGCGGCATCACCGGCGCCCAGCCTGGACAAGCTCAGCCTGGAATTGCACCCGCAGCCGTTCCCAAGCCCGCCAACGCGCCGAAGCCCGCTGGAGCACCTGGCCGCCCTGCCCGCAGGCAAGAGCCGGCGGCGCCTCCGGCCGCTGCTCCCTTCCCCATGGGACAAGGTTTCGAGATGAAGATGGCTGACCTCATGGCCATGGCCGAGTCGAAGAAGAACGGTGGCGTCATGGCCACGTGGGAGATGATGACCAACTTTGCCGCGCAGCAGAAGCCGGTGGAGCAGAAGAGGTCTGAGATCATGAGACGGAGGTCGTTCCCGGTGAGACGACGTCTGGGACAGCATTTCTAGGCTTTTTTTTTTGTTCTAGGGTGGTCTTCTAGGTAGCATGGCGAATAATATTCGATGTGTATTCTTTTCATCATAGTACCCTCGGTCGGGCGACTGCAGGGCAAGCTCAGACGGCTTTGAGGGGTTCAAAATACTCAATAGAAGAAACATTATTGGTGAACTATCTCTAGTATCTACATCTTGTGATGATGAAGTACGCGGCACGGGATCGAAGACAGGGCTATTCCTGTTCACATCTTCGTTTCAATGACGGAGGGTCTTCTTGCCAGGCCGTGAACTTTGCCAACATCTTCAATCAGTACTCCAATTAAAGTTGTCGGTTCTCGGCTCGTCAAGAGAAACAAAAAGTGGCTTCCGTAAAACATGATCGCCGTCTCCAGTTTTCGACCCAAAGGAAGGGTTCATGTTCTTTGGCGCTAAATCCTTAGAAACACGACCTGTGGCTTTCGCGCAGAAGAAGAAACAACCAACCTCGGTTCGCCTGTCAAATGCTGGAAAGTTGATTTCCAAATACCCATTCGTAGCCGTCCCTCATCCCTTCTTCCAGTTTCCGGCTCAGCGCGCCAAGCCGAACATCAGCCAACACGATCAATGCCAAACAAGCGCGAGACCGAGACTCGCAGAACCTGTGGGTGACGGCTGTCAAATGCCAACCGCTCTTTTGGCCATGCAAAGCCGAGGGCTATGTGCGGATTGGTCACGAAACATGCATCGGGTTCTTCAGCTTTGGTACAGGCAAGCTAAATATCTCGACCAAGTAATCTCAAATAGAGGCCATTTACGATTAGTAGAAGTGTGTTAAAGCCTCTCATTGTGATGACGTGAACCTTCCTACCTCACGAAATGTCAGTTTTGCCCCTGCGTCACGTCACGCAATCCAGACACCATGCACTCAAAGCCATGAGCGTCTGTGAACATGAGTATTTAACTTTGAGAAGATGACATATCTATGAAGTCGTGGATGTGTCCAGGCGGAGGGCCACTGCTTTCATTGACTTTGGCTCATGCCTGTCTGAAGTCGCTCACTCAACGGGTGTCTTCGCTTAGAGTGAGTGCACTGGCTTTGGTGTGATGGGGCTTGGCAAGTCTGATAAAATTGGTCAAAAGGCAGTGCCTAAAGAAGCCGGGAAGTAAAGTCTTGATAAGCTGATTCAATTGAAGTGAGTCTAGTCCTCATGCTACGTCTCTTCTTGATTGATGCCTACTTACATATGAGTTGAGAAGAAGGTGATGTTTTTGGCCATAAGCACAGATGACAAGAAAAGGCAGTGAATGAAACCATTCAGCGCACGGGATTAGCGGTCGATTGGAGACGTTGACAGCAAGATTGTTGTTTACTTCATTCATAATCGACAAGAGAAAGTAGAGACATGCCGGCATCGGCATCATGGCTAATCAGCCGCGATAGCGTTCCTTGCAGAAGAGACCCATTGATACGAAGCTCAACGTGGAAATCCCTGTCTCGATGACGTCCGGGGAAGTGGTGCTATCTCCATTCTCCAATGTTTGTTAGTCTTATCAGCGGCGCCCCTCACTACCCGGCAACCCCAACTGTGCCAGCCTCTCCCGAATGTTGATGGTGACATGAATAGTGGACTTTCATTTTGGAGAATGTAACCGTTCCATTCGGAGTCGAACTGCAGCGACCTGCTGGATGAACTGAATTGAGGGGGGAAATCGTCCCACTGGGGGATGGATCGCCAGAGTTCCCCGCTACTGAACGGGTGGCAGCCGTTAAGAATGGGTGAGCTTCCTCAGCTGCGAGTTGCGATGTGCTGCTGCGATCCAGTCTAGGCAGAGCAATTGAGCTTCACGAAGTTGCGCTTGTCAAGATGAAGGGATTCAGGAGCTTCAATGCCCTCACGGCGCTGTCTCTGAGCGGAACTGCGCTCGCAGCGGTGACCAATTCGACATCCTCTAGTGTAAGTATCTCTGAATTGTTCTCTAGCTCACTCAAGTGAGGTGGCTGCGCAATTGACGACGGTCTCTGAATTGGTTCGCAGAAATCCGTTGCCCTCGACCTCACCTCCCTCTTCAACAACAAAGGATTTGGTACCCAACCCGGAGAGGCCGCATTCGATGCCCTCAACCAATCCTTCCCCGAGCCGACCGTCGGCCCGGACTTTGTCTCAACCGATACTGGCATCCAGTACAGCTTCCCGGGCTACACCGGCCCCACGAACCCCGACAATCTCATCTGCACCGGCCAAAAGATCTCGGTGCCTCAAAACGGCTCTTACTTCTCCGCCTCGTTCCTCGTCGCGGGAGATGTAGAGGGCGCCACCGTCAGCGGAAACGTCTCCTTCACCTATGCCGATAACACCACTTCCGAGTACGAGCTTCGCACGCTCAACTGGTTCAGCTTCCTGACCATCAACCGCGGCGAGATCATCTTTCCCAACCGGTACACGGCTAATGGCTCTGATTTCAACACCTCGCACATCTTCGAGCGGACGACTGCGCTGCCGCCTGGCAAGAAGCTCACTGCCATCACCCTGCCGGACAAGAATAATGCGACCGAGGGCCGGCTTCACGTCTTCTCAATCACCTTGTGGCAGCAAGCCGCAGATGTAGCTGTCCAGTCGGTTAGACCGACGCAGAAATGGATTGGTAACGGAACGCAGGTTGTCGAGGTCACTGTCAATAATGCCGGGTCAAAGTGCGTCTCTGGCGAAGGCCTCAAGATTACAGTCTCTGGAGATGGATTCATCACTACAAGCCCTGGGCACTTGAAGCGACTGTGCCCAGGAGACCAAAAGGTTGTCGTTGTTGGCGTCAATGGCGCATCAGCCGGCCCCACCAACGTTGCTGTCCACGTTGACGACGGTATTGTCCGGAAGAAGACTCCTTTTGCCGACGTTGAAGTTGGCTTGACTGAATGGACTGCGGACAGCGACAGCCTCTCGAAGCACGAGAGCCCAGAGTGGTTCGACGATGCGAAGTACGGCATCTTTATTCACTGGGGCCCTTACTCCGTCACAGGTTGGGGCAACTCTACTCCATATGAGAGCTATGCCGAGTGGTTTTGGTGGTATTCTACCCACCACCCCGAAGGCGATCGCTCCAACTTCTATCAATACCGTCTTGACACGTACGGTCCTGATTGGGCTTATGACGATACCTTCCCAGAATTCAACGCCTCCAAGTTTGACGCCAAGGAGTGGGTTGACCTCTTTGCGGATGCTGGCGCTAAATACTTCGTCCTCACGACCAAGCATCACGATGGCTTCGCCCTCTTTGATGCAGGAGAGACATCCAACCGCTCCTCAATCCACTACGGCCCCAAGCGCGATTTGCTGAAGGAGCTCTTTGATGCTGCGAAGACTTACCAGCCGGATCTGAAGCGAGGTACCTACTTCTCACTCCCCGAGTGGTTCAACCCAGACTTTGGTCCCTATGGTTTTGTTCAGTTCCCAACGCCTTCAGCCGTCTCCTGGCCCGGCGTGTTAGCGTCAAATCCGTACACCGGCGAGCTCGAGCCCTACACCGGCCGCGTCCCCGTTAATGACTTCATCACCGACCTGATGGTGCCCCAAATGGAGACACTGGCCTACGACTACGGCACGGACATTATGTGGTGCGACTGCGGCGCTGCAAACGGCACGCAAGATTTTGCGGCGACTTGGTGGAACAAGGCCCGCGCCGAGGGCCGACAGGTCGCCATCAATTCCCGCTGCGGCATCCCGGAGGCGGCTGACTTTGACACGCCCGAGTACCAGACTTTTGCATCCGCGCAGCGTCGCAAGTGGGAGAGCAACCGCGGTATGGACCCGTACAGCTATGGATACAACCGCGCCACGAAGGCCGAGGAATACATGAACGCTACTACGATTGTGTACTCCCTCGTCGACATGGTTTCCAAGAACGGCAACTTTTTGCTGGACATTGGCCCCAAGGCCGACGGCACCATCGTCCAAGCTGAGATGGATAATCTGCGTGAGGCGGGCAAGTGGATTAAGGCCCATGAGGAGGCCATCTTCAACACCACGTACTGGTTCGTGCAGAGTGAGATCGTTGGCGGCCCGGATGTTAGGTTCACCCAGACGGATGAGGCTTTCTACACCATCTTCTTGGAGCAGCCGACCGTGGTCAACGGCTGGGTCTTCATCAAGGCACCGGTCCCTGTCGTTGAAGGGGATAATATCAGTCTACTGAGCATTGAGGGTGCTGAGGATCTTGAGTGGGAGGTCATCGGGTCAGGATCTGACACTGAGCTGAAGGTCAAGCTTGATGAGACCCTTATCGAAGCAGATCAGTTCGGTTGGGTGTTCAAGGTTCTCTACGCGGCATGATTCAGGGTGCCAACAACTGGAAAGCCCGTATGTTAGTTAGTAATTGAGTCGACTGGAAGCAAATCGTACTCAGAGGATCAAAAACTGGGTAGCCTGTGCTGGGAGCAAAAGTGAATGCGTCGAGGGGGAATCGAACCCCCGGCTCCCCGACGCTGCTGGATGGCAACGGAGAATTTTACCACTAAACCATCGACGCTTGATTACCTCGGAGGTAAGCCTATCCAAGTTCCAACCTACTGCCCGCAACTCCCCCGGTCTAGTAGTGGAGGATGAGCCGGACGTACACCACCTAAGGGGGGGAGAGTTTGGGCGCAGCCGGGGCACACTAACAAGAACCCCCCGTACCGAAGGGCACTCGTTTTTCGCAGGAAGTGGTATCCAGTGACCACGATCGCGCATAAGACTAGCCCCTTGACTTTGAGTGTGGCCATCTCGCGGCAAAGAGAAACTCAGGCGACCTGGTAGTAACACCAGTGCTATCACAACTAAGAACAAGATCGGAACCGGAAGTTTTCAAAGAGTGACTTCTTTAGTGTTGAGTTTTATTACTTACGTACCTAGTATTAGACAGTGAGAGGGTAGGTCTGTTGATTCCTAGTATATATCAAGATCCCAAATCCGTCTAATATCATACCCCAACTAGGACTCAATGAAGTTATACAAACGTTTGACGTCGTTTCTCGAAGTTCAAGTACAATTGCAATCAAACTCTTCGATCAAGCTAGAAGTATTAGGTCGTCTTGATCTTGCCGCCACGAATGGCAATGATGGAAAAAAAATCGCCCTCGTCAGTTGGCGCGACGATGAACTCGCCGGAGGTGCTATCCCACGTAGCAGTGTGCGAAGTATTGTCATCAATCTTGTTGAAGTCGGCGTCAACTTGGATTGGAATTCCAAAGACGCGAACGTAACCTTCAGCTTCCGTGGTGTCAAAAACCTTTTTCTCGAAAGTGGACTTTATGGTGTTGCTAAAGTTGATTCTATAACCGAGATTCTTAACTATAACAAGCTGGGTGGGTGTGACAAGGACCTTAACGGTGTCTGGGGCGTTGGGCTTCAGCTGAGGATAGCTGGTTTTTGGATCTTGAAAATTCCTGTCCACGGCGTTCAGTTTCGCGGAGGTTCTTTGGAAAAATATTCCCTCGCTCCTCGAGCAACTTACCAGCTTCCAGGATTGACAGCTACAGTCCTAATCTCATCGTATGTCACCGTGATCTGGATATAATTCTCGTCGGAGCTGTTTTGATCAAGCTTTTCCTCGTAACCAGAGGATCCGCTAGTACCGAAAGACACCCAGGGAGCGTAGGAGAAACTGAGGCTAACTCTCAACGTTTCCTGACCAAGTTGAGTCTCACTGGTGTTCTTTCCATCGCTCATCTTGATTTCGATAGAGCTCTTGCTGGGTCGGCCGCGACTGGGATCTCGGATCTAATCAGTCACAGCCTCGACGTACTCATCAGAGCTGTACTCAGGCACGTATCTGATGCCTTTCGGCGCCGGAAGCTTCTGACCCGAGTTGATAGCGTCGAGAGTGTCTTAGGCATTAGATGGAGTGACACTAGTGGCAGTCATTGAGATACTGAATAGATTTGTTTGAATTGGCCGGCAGATTTCCCATCAACAATGTGGCATGTCCTGGAGTTGCTACAAAACTGGTCATGACTTGAGTAAGCCTGTCGCTATCCAGGTTGTATTGAGCCGCCAGTGGACCTCTCAAGTCATCCAGTGCAGACTTGCTCGCGGCCGCGGAAGCAGCAGCGACTTGAAGGGCGTTAACATATCCCGGGGTGCATTGGTGGGATACCACTGCATGAAGGTCTGGTCTCCAGTGATTTCGAAGCCTTGTTCTTGCTCGAAAGATGCATGAGCTTTGCTGACTTCCGCGTTGCACCTGATGAGGGCGGCATCCAGAGATTTCTGCACAAAACATTTCGAGTCATCACAGCGGAGTTTCCGGAGCCTCTCTATTCACAGTTTAGCAGAGATCTCGGGGGTGCAGGCCGGGAGACCTTACAAGGTCAATAGAACCGAGATAACTAGAATACCATTTGTGTCAATTATTGCAGGAGAATGAGTTTAGCCGACATCCGCTCGAGGCTTACTTCTTCAGCGATCTGATGTACGAGTTCTGAGTGGAGGGTACATAGAACAGATAGTCGACAGATAAAAGATTATCCGCGAGGTTGTAAATCTCAAAGTTGGTGTATTTGGGAGGAATGAGAGGAGATACGGCCGGGCCTTTCTGCGCCTTGCTAGCAAAGAAAATGGCGCTGTCAGAACCGGGGTTGGATTCGATGGTAGACGCTTTGCAATTACTACATGGCTCTGAATTCTTCCTTGATCAGGGAGACTACTTCGCTAGGTTGTACATGTGAGTCAAGGGCGTTGTGTTCTCCATTAGCACATATATCTATCACTTCTGGCTTCCTAGATTTGTGCGGAATTTGGTGCCCGTAAGTCAGCCACTCTTCTATGAAATCCTTCATCTACCAAGTGAGGACCTCGTTCGAAAGGCGTATTTTGATGACATTGCAAAGATTAAGGTTGACCCGTCCACCATATTCTATCATCCCATCCATATGTTGGCTAATTAGGAGACTACCCGCCACGATTGGGCATGAAAACGTCGCCTTCTCCTCCATGGCTCAATCGACTTTGACGGCCTGACAGACGTCACTTGGGAAGAGCTTGGACATGGGGAGCTCGATGGGGCAGGGTCCCCTAGGTTGAGGAGGTCTCAGCAAGCGCTCGTCGAACAGCTTGAAGGTAAGATTGGCTTTTATAGGAGGCTCAATGTTCTCGATATCTAAAGAGGCATGTGGAATGTGAAGCAGCTTCGACAGACAGGTAAACTGGGCCCCTACGCCCCAGAGACGGCGAAACATCAAATGAGTTTTGCAAGACCACCAAGTCATTGCTGAGCTGGGGATATTACATTCAGCTAACGTTGCCGGAAAGCATCGGTACGAAGTCCGCCAAACAAGCCAATTTGTCGTTTTGAGGTGTCCCATCACCGAAGTATCGGATAATGCGAGGGTTCTCGATTTTTCTATGGAGCAAACGAACTACTCGTGGCTAGTTGCCGTTCTGGCAACGGTCATCTAGGTACGGGGATGCTGCATGTCCGCAATCTTTTCTGAGGCTCCTCTGGTTTGCGCTAAAACCAATGTTTGGGTATTGATGGTTCGGTAGATAGCAGACAGATTTATTGAATAGGATATGCCTTGAAATATGATGCTCTTCATTTGATAAATACTGAAAGGCGAATAACAGTTTAACATGCAGATGAACTGCCTTAGTTACGCGTCGTTGTCTTGAAATTGCTACAAGACATCATAGGCTACGTCGCTGGGATGCATAAGACGAGGCACTGACTTGTTGCCGACAGATGACGGAGAGCTGTATCTCGTTCGTCTTGAGCCCCTTGACAAAGAAACCATGACGACGGAAACCTGGATCTTGTAAAGCTCTCGGTCCGACAACAATTGAACGGACCGAGGGAAGAATGGAGTTCATCTTGGGGGTGGGGTTTGGACGTTGTAGATGCCGGTGGGATAGGAGACTTTTGGAACGTGAGATGGTCATTTCAGATCGTCAATTTCATTATTGAATGATTACGCAGCCGGCAATCGCCGCAACAAGTACTAGTATTCCGTCCAACAGGCCTTCCAGTGGATACAAGCTTCGCTTTTTACAAGATGAACGCCGCAAGCATGGACAGACCAGCCAGGGAAATCAGCAGGCCCGGGGCAGAGTCAGCAGCTCCGGATCCCGGAACCGTAGAGGGAGTGGCAGTCGGTGACGAACCGTTGGTTGACTTGGATGCGTTGTACTGCGCCGAGATAAACTCAACTGCATCGTCGGTGTAGTTGCCAAAGTATGAACCGTGGACGAGAGTGTTATTGCCGAGATCGCAATAAACATCTCCCGTGTCGCAGTAGGACTCGATCTTGGATGCGTATGCCTCGCACTTGGTCACATTCTCACGGGGGAAAAGCTAGAAAGAAGAACGAGTCAGCGAGTCCGACGTTGCACTACCCTAGTATTTTGATCCCGCCACCACGTTTCGCCCAGGTGGAACTTACTCCGTTGCGCTTGCTCGTGCCTTTGTTCCAGCTTGCGCTGACGTTGTGGGTTGGGTCTCCGAAGAGAATCACAGCAATGACTGAGCATATGTAAGCTTCATAATCATGTCGACTGATAGTGACTGGGCAGGCGGCTACTAACCACTTTGGTCGACGACGGATGCGGGAACGGGAGCCGTCTGATTGAACTCAATGTTGAGAGCTTCACCCTCGTCCTCGTCGACACTGCCGCACAGAGTATCGCCTGTCACTTGCGCACCCTAAAGTTTCATGCAAGTCAGCGGAAGCAAACAAAAGAAAATTTTCACGCAGCCGTCCAATTTTCCCGCCCAATTGCCACCCTCCTTCCCGGCACTCTGGTAAAATGGATAATCATGTCATCCAATGAAGCTGAATTGGCGTTGATGCAGAAGGGGTGCGTCATATCGAAATCTTCACTGCGACGTGAACTTACCTGAGAGTATCCCAACAGCGCCACCTTGGAGTTCGGGCATCGCGCGTTGTACGATGTCAACGCGGCATTCAAGGCCACGGCACCGGCAGCGACGGAGGTCGAGTAGTTGTCAAACGTCGCCGGGTAGTCGAGCGGCGCGATCTGGGACCCGGGTATGGCTGCAAAAGTGCCATTGGCGACGCTGCCAATTCTGCCGGATCCGGGAGCTTCGTTGCTACCGCGGGCGACGATGATGTACACGCCGGTCGCGCAGGTGCTGGTCGCGTTTTGCGCCGTGGCGGCGGTGGCGGCGAGAATGCTGGCGAGGGCGATGCTAGTCTTGACTCTCATTTTGGGGGCGTAAGCTCTATCTATGATCTACTGTATAGGAGAGATCAAGAGGGTTGTAGGGGGACGGGGGACTCGAAGAAGAGGCTTAAAAGGGTAGAGCAAGAGACGGATGCGGAACGACCGGGGAGAACAAAGGCTCGTTGTCCAGCGTCAGCGCCAAAGGAAAGCTCGGGGGAAACGAAGAGGTATATATCAAGACCTGCATGACGTCGCATACTCACCGAGACCCCTTCGGCCAAGCAAACTAGAACGATATCCGCACTGAGACCTTTCCCGCAGCTGCGGAAAGCTGTCGATGGGTCGATGGGAAACCCACTTGGACAAAACAGTTCCCCATTACCGTGCTTGCCTAGTCGCAACGGGCCCAGAGACTCGTCGGTGGGCTGGGAACATCAACAAGCTAGCCTCTAAGAAGCTAATGCATATCGAGGTGTTCGGATCGTCAGGGGTTATCCCAGACCGCTCTGTGATGACGAATCAGCTGAGTGCCATCGCCAACAAACAGCCATCGATAACCCTCTCTACTTCACACACATGATCGGGCCGTAGTGAGATAGTACACGTGAAGACCGGGACACTGGCTTTGAAGACTTGCCGCGCGGGGTTAGAATTGATAGGATGTAGCCTGTTGCACGAGAAGGTGACTGTAAATGGCATATCTGCGTGCGCGAGCTAAGCAATATGTCGATGAGGGGTTCTCAGAAGGACCCAACAAACCTCGGCATTGGATCCAAATGAAGCATCGCGTTCCAATACCCCAGGTCTCCCTCCGGGTCTCTGGTCCCCTTTGGCGCGTATCAACCTCCACTATTGGTTCCGCTCAGGTCCGGGTAACCCGGCGAGGTTGGGACTCGCCAACTCAGGGTTGGAATTGGGGCCTGCGGACTTTTGAGTGCGGGGAAGAGATGCGCTTTGCCCGGTTTGTTGGCTCTTTCCGATTCCTTGCATTGTGACTTTAAATTGTGGACGAACCGAGGGGCATCAGCTGCTGCAAGTTGCTGATGTTATTAGGTCTAGAGTAAATACAATGGTGAACAGATTCTTCTTTCTCCCACATTACGTGTTTCTTGCGTTTGGCTATTTACATTCTCACGGATAGTCTTTTTCTTCTTATTCAAGTGGAGTCTACACAAGAGCTTCCAGACTCGCAACAACAACTAGGCATTGGTGAAAGACGAAACTCGTGCAGAGCCACCTAATGCTTTTGTCGCGTAGTTGAAAATGCCGTATCGGTAACCCAAAAAGAACTCCCAATTATTGTACAGCGTGAAAGACGCGCCGACAGTCTCGAAATCCTGTCCATCGACGCTGTAGCTGAAAACAACATTGCAAGGTCCACCGGGCCGAATATCAGCTACCATTCTCAGGTAGACGTCTCTCGCATCATCCAATGGTCTGCGCTCTACAACTGCTCCTGTCGAATTCGTAGTCCAGTCGGTGTTCATGGTCAAGCCCCCGACAGTGACGATGGAATACACGTCTCCTTCGCGTTCGATGCCGATCCAAGAGGACTTGTCGCGCAACGCTGCGAGTCCAACGTGGTCACCGTCGGCCATGCTCGCAACATTGAGGTGGACGGTGCCGGTTCCAATCGGACCCCGAATGCGATGCGTCAGAGTGTTGCGAGCTGAGTACAGATCGGATGTCACAGTGACGGTACGGAGCGTGAGTCCGTTATCGACCTCGAAACCACTGACATCAGGGTTGTGATTCCATTCCCACTCAGGCCCGAGAGACGCACCGGAAAACTCATCGGTGCGAAGCACGCTCGGCACATCTACCCGAGGAAGCGGGTACTCGTAATCTCCCCAGGCGCCGTTGACGGTCACCAGCGACGGGAAACCATCGTCCCTCCAAGTGATGGGAGCGAGTACGGGAGAGCGGCCGCCGGGATAGATGTCTGTGAAGCCCATGTAATACCAGTCTCCGTTCTGGGTGTCTACGAGACTGCCCTGGTGCGGCGAGCCGGCGTTAGGAATCGAGCTCAGTGCAATTCGGTCGGCGAGGACCTTGATCTCGTACGGACCCCATGGGCTAGATGACTTTAGTACGTATTGTCCATCAGGCGGCCTCGTAAGGAAGATGTAGTAGTTTCCGTCTCGCTTGTACATGCGTGCACCCTCGAGGGCACCAATGTCGCTGGGCGTCTGGAACACAGTCTCTCGCCGTGTCTCTGAAAGTCCGTCGGCCGAAAGCTGCGCTACCGATATCATAGTATTTCCATATGCCACGTACGGGGTATCGTCGTCGTCAAACAATAAGCCAACATCGTAGTAGCATGTGTCAATGGTGCCGGCTTTGGTCCATGGCCCAGCTGGGTCAGGTGATATGTAGACGTAGGTCTTTAAGAACTCTACGCAGGCTACAAAGTACCAGAGGCCGTTGCTTGCCCGGTGCCGAAGAGAGGATGCCCAGATGCCCTTGACATAAGCATTCTTCCCATCCGCGAGGTCATATTGCGAGTTCCAGTCGAGAATCGGGACCGAGTGGCTGACGTACTCCCAGTTGACCAAGTCTTTAGAGCGTAGGATGGGAGCACCGGGGGAGTAGTGCATAGTGGATGCGGTCAAGTAGTAGATGTCTCCGACGCGGTGAACCTCATTGTCGGCGAGGTCTTCCCATATGACCGGGTTGGTGAAGGTCTCTGCCACAATAGGGGCTGCTAAAGCAGCTATTGTGACAAGTGAGAGAAGCCAGGATCTCATCGTGCTGATTTGACAAAGAGCTCACTGGGTTGTTGTGTAGAGTCTATGGGAGAGCTATTGAGTGAGATGATTGTGTTGTCTAAGAGGCATCACCTTGGTTTTATCTCTTTCCATCCCAGGCGCAAGATCTGTCTCCGGCCGACTCGGATCGTATTCACTCGGTACGAGGCCATCGTGAAATCCAGTTTCGAATGCCTCATTGGCTCGTAAAATCTCGATTGTCGATCTACAGTCTAAGGAAATTGCGCCCCAGCTACGGTGCTTCACTACAGTTCTTCCGGCAGTTGCATGACTGCGGATGATGCGAAATGGTGGCATCATTTCAGCCGATGACCCCAGGTTTTCATCTTGCATTCGGCCGACTACATGGCCAGCTAAACCCCAAGGATTCGGCCGGTGGGATGGAAGAAACGCTCCAACCGTCTCTCCTCGGTTCCCAAGGCAAGGTCACATCTCAGCTCGGAACCGGTAGCATTCATCTTACAGCGTCAGTTGAAGCTACAGTGATGCTCCCACCAGTGACTACCGCAACCGCGCCTATTAAAAGTCATGACAGGGAGGCATTCCCCGCATTTCGGGAAGTTTTTGCGTGCTAGGGAGATCACAGAAATCTGCCATTTGTGTAATCAGTTTAATTGACGCTTTTGGTCAGTTGGTTCACCCATCCGATAAACTCTAGATGAATAAAGAAGACGTGCTATTGAGACTCATACTCTTCTCCATTCACCTTGTAGAAGATTTGAGGGAAAGGTGCTGAGAAATTGTCTGGGAGTGGGGTTATCTTCAGACCAGCATCGCGTTTCTTATCACGCACCTAGCTTACAAGTGATAGCAACTCCCTTCAAGGTCAATTGAAGAGCTCACGACATGAGATTCTACGGAAACAGTCAGCGGAAGGGACAGTCTGGTATTTCCAGCCACATTTCCGAGCTTTGAGTTGACGAGGTTCTCTTTGAGTGCAGGAGGAGCACTTGTTGTGAGCGAGAAACCCACATTTATCGGGGGTGGAGCTCCTCCTCGTGCCGATAATCAACGACAGCATGCAGGCTGTATCATGTAGGAAACAAGATATCCCGCCTAGTCAAGTACATCTATAATTTCAATAAGAACAATGGAATCGGGCAGCTAGAAATATCCACACGGCAAAGTTCCACCCACTTTCATCCATCCTCCATTCGAACACGCTACTATTATAGGCAGCACGATGTCTTTCGGCAAGCTTTACACGTATCCCAAGGCGCCCCGGTCCACGATGGCGCTCTTCGTAGCCAAGTACAATAAACTTGACGTCGAAATTTGCAATGCTTTTCCGATCAAAGTGTACCCGGAAAAGGGCGGTGTCGGTGAGGAATACCTCTCCAAGTTCCATACTGGAAAGGTTCCCGCCCTGGAGACCGCTGACGGCTTTGCTGTCTACGAAAGCAACGCACTTGCATGGTTCCGTAAGTGCTGAGTTTATTCAAAGATACAAGCTCGGTGAAGCTTACGGCATAAAAGTGGCAAAGCAGGATCCAAATACCAAGCTCTGTGGATCCGGGTTGAAGGAGGAGACCACGGTCCTTCGGTGGGCCTCTTTCACCAATTATGAGCTCCTACCGCCCATCATGGCGTGGATAGGACCCATCATTGGGCGGGCACCCAATAGTCCTGAGATTCTCAAAACTTGCGAGAAGGGCTGTGAGTTGACCATTTGCGCCATCGAGAAGGAGATCGCGGGAAAGAGTTATCTCGTTGGCGACACACTGACCCTTGCCGATCTTTTTGTTGTTTCTGGTCTCGCAAGAGGTTATCAATATGTAAGAATCTCATATAACCATGATTGCCGTCAAAGCCCAAGCACTTCTAACATTTCCCAAGGTCTTCACTAAAAGCTGGGCAGAGAAGCACCCGGTGGTGCATGAATACTACATGCGCATTAGGAATGACAAAGATGGAATCTTCGACAGCATCCTTGGACCTAATGTTATTCGCGACGAGGCCGGCGGCACGTATCCTGACTATGATGGCTTGTAAGCTTGAGTAACCTAGCGGGCTTAGTGGATATATTGTGAAATTTAGTCTTCAAAATTGTAGATATGAGTGCACTGTGTATTCCGTGAACTGCTAGATGGCGTCATAACGTCTCTCTTCACTATTTCTTTAATTTACTAGATTTCCCTTCATCGCTTGTAAATCATCTCAAATTAGACCAAATTTAGCAAAAGATTAGAGACGGATAAAGTGACGCTGTCTACTAGTTAATAGAATATAAGTCTACACGACGGAACAGTTCGAGTCTTTTTACCTAGTCTCCTGTCTACTCTCATGAAATACCGCAACAATCCATTTACTAGGTGGCCATATATCTCTAGCCGAGAACGTTGCCTCCATCCACGCCAAGTATCTAGATTCAGCGTCATCAACCGTCGCTGCCTGCTCCCAGAGACCTCTTTGATCACCATATATAATATCTGGGCGGATGGCGGCTAGTATTCCAGTGAGAATGACACGAGCAGACATGGCGTAGATGCTAGATGCTTGAATGCCGAAAGACGCCGAGCTGGTCTGCAGGCTTACGGCCATCAAACGTACTATACGCCAGCCCAGCAGACAAGCCTTATAACCTATCATGGTGATGAATGGATCTTCGATTATCATGGCAGAACGTCCAGAATTCAACTGGAAGTTGAGACCGATGGGTCTATTATCGCGAGAAAGAAGCATCAGAATGCTCTCCAAACTACTCGCGACTCGCGTGACTGAGACAATGTGAGCTGATGTCCTCCATCACCGCGAAGCTGAATGCTTCACATGGAGGGATGGCAATCTGAAGGAGAATTCACATACGTACCATCTCTATCTTCATACACATCTCGATGCTGCTTGACACGAGGCTTGCCAAGCTCCCAACACGTTGACACAGCAGATGGCAGGCTATACTCGACGATGCCACTCGTGAGTAACGACTCTTGGTGAGTAAGGTTCATGGCAGCATAATGCCATACGATCCAGACATTACTCCATAGGCTGGACTCTACAGAGTCAGATTCATCCGGAGGGTTGGTAACAGGGCATAGCCCGGGAAGAGATGGCTTGCGCATGATGTCTGACAAGGCATTCAGAGCTTGCATAATTGACGTTCGACTAGCTTCTGAAATGATTGACAGATTGTTCTTGGACTCGCCACATCGCACGTTGTTGTACAAGAACGAACTTGCTAAAGTAAGGTCACGAATCATCATCAAAATTTGCGTGATGAGCATGAGACACGCAAAGGACGAATGCCATAGCAGTCGCATAGGCCGGTCTGGCGGGTTAGGATTCATCAAGAACATGAGACTTGCGTACAGATCGCCGTGTGCAGGACGCGGGTCGCCATTGGCGTCATAGTCGTCTTCTTCGTTGAACGATCCCTCTTGCGAGAGTATGAGTGCTTGCCAGGTTTCGGCAGTGGATGCTTGCCATATGTCATCTTGACACGGAAGTTCGTATTTCAATTCTAGAGCTGCGAGCAGCGGACGTATGTTACAACAGACTGAAAGTTGAGCGTCGAAGTAATATAGACAATACACAATGCTAAGTCTCCGTTGTCAGCTACAAACTTTGACTGAAATTATATCGGTTTTCGGCACGCAGAGAATCATACCGCTTTCTTGACTCGTTGTACATAGCAACTCGCCAGGCGTGCTCGGTGACAGTCGAAGAGGAAGACACTGTAGGCTCATTCGGGCTAGAGACTTCGTCCACGCCAAGAGCTACTCTGTCTTGAAGCATTTGATACTGCCGTACAGCATCAACAAGCTTCCTGTGGATTTTGAGAGCTGTTGCGAAGCGGCCATCGTCGCAGCTGTAGAATGCGTAGTATTCAAAGAGTAGATAGGCCTGCATGACCCACAACTCTCTGAATCTGACCCGCCGACTCTCGCGAACCTATTACTCCTCACATCGCTCAACATCCACACAAGAGTCCTGTTGAATGTTCACTTACGTATATGTCTAGAGACTTGAGGCCCGAAGAGAACAACGTGGAGCTTATCTCTTGGCTCGAGCCCTGGGCTTGGTAAATGGCGCCCAGGCAAACGATTGCCTGTATCAACGGCTCTTGAGCCGTGTCCACGTCGAAAGTTGGCTGATGTAAAAGTGGGAACGTGGTCTGAAATCGATCGAAGTAGGCTGAGACAAACTGAGGAAGTTTGAAAAGCCAGGAAATGCCTTGCGATGCAAACACTTGTGAGATAGGAGTTGACTACGACATCCACAATATTACTTAGTCTGTGAATAGAAGGGACCGGTGGAGGAAGCACTTACACCGTCACCGTTTGAAGCGACATTCAAGCGGTTGGCCTCGTGTGCGTTGCTAGCTTCCCTTTGTGACCCATCGGCCGGTGTGGCATGACTGGCGACATGGATGGTCTCACTGGCGCGGTCAGTATTCGCATGATAATTTCTCAAGTGACGTTTTCTCAAATCGCTACAAACCAACTCAGTACTTATTTACCAGAATTTTGCATAGAGGTGACTAGTACCGACCTTCTAGAAAAGCTGACTTCACACTGTGGGCATGGGAATGGCCTCAAATTTGACCGCTGATGTACTGCATCTGTCAGTCCTACTTGTCGCTGACCAGTTGCCATGGTTCTGTCTGGTAATCACCTGATGATGTATGGCGGTTCAGGTTCTCCTGCTGATTGTCAGCCCTTTGCATTGGAACTTCTTGGTGGAAAGGAACTCACCTGTCGGGTAAAACGACTAGAGCATGCGGGGCAGTGGAATGGTTTGTCGTTTGATTTTGCAGACATTTCTACACTACCTTATTCAGGATGAAGTCGGTGAGACTTAACGTTCCTGCCTCAATTCGGCCAAGTGTTGTGGTTCTCTTTCGGGTTCAATCGTGTTCCACAAGATCTCACTAATCGGTTCCGGCAATATCTCACAGAAGTCGTGAGAACATGGAGGGAGGATCAATGGGCATGTTGATTGTGATAATAGAGACGACCTAACAGGACAATCGTCTTCTCCGCAAAATGTGGGTTCACCACTCTTATCATTCACAGCTGTACGCTTGTTTATTGCCCAATGCGGCCGCACCGGCCTCCCAAGTCTTGAACTCAAAACACCTACCGTAGATATTTTTGCAAGCCGGATTCCTCATTGTGAAGGACTCGATGCAGCATGACGAAGCTTGAAATACCTTGAATACAACCCAGGCAAATGAAAACCGAGAGAGGGCTTGGCTGGAGCTCACCGAGGAGGAGCCCCAAGAAAGGTCGCAGAGACGGCTTGATAAGACTTAATGCGAGACTTCAATATCTGGGGGAAGAGGTGCCCCACTTGGGAGGAGCTCCTCTCAACCATCCACCACCTTCTTTACCCCGCAAAGATACGACGCATCCTCGGAGTATGTGGCAAGTTCGAGCTGGCTTGGTTTGCGCTCCTATAGGATTAGTTGGGAGGAGTTCTAAGACGGTCAAGTCAATGAACCGCTTGGGTCCGCTGGAAGACTTGTTGAGAGGCAGGATGCTCTAGGAGTAGCTGTAGCCACACTGCGTGGATGCATGTGGGTCGAGGAATGGTCTACGATTCGGCTCTCGCGTTTTAGACACGGATGTGGGGTGAGAGTGACAGTAAGCTACCTTACAATGTAGGAAGAGTGCACTCATGCGGGAGTCGTGATCCTTGGAAATGCACTTTACGATATAACAGGCAGAAGAGATCGCGTTGCTCGAGTCGAAGTCATCGACTCTTCAACAAAGTACTCACAGAATCTCATTCGCATCTTCGTCTGCATCCATCCATATCTCCAAAGGATCCTCATTATATCAGCGATAGAAGCCATGTCTCTTCCTCCATTCACGCCCGCTCCACCAACCAAGGAGAAGCGTAAGTCTTATCCCCCCCCCCCCCCCCCCCCCCCCCAGTCAACCCATCGGTCTCAGCCAGCTGAATCTGACCTCAAAAGTGGACTACGTCAAACTCGTGAACCTCGACATGTCCAAGTTCGACGACCCCACAGGCCGAGAAGAATTGGCGAAAGATCTTTATGAAGCTGCGACTGGTTATGGCTTTCTCACACTGAGCAATCATGGCATTTCCGATGAAGTTTACGCTCGTCAAATGCAGATCGCAAACGCAATGATGACCCTCCCGGCAGAGGAAAAGGCGCCTTATGAAGGTATCTAGAGTCATTTTGTTTACTTTGATAGCCCAGGGTATGAAGACTGTAAGCGTTGACACAGTGATAGTGACCCCTGAAGAAGATGCACGTGGACTCTATGTTGGATACAAGCCCGCTGGGCCTCTCGGACACAAAGGTGGCTTCCCCAAACAGCTGGATCATTACAATATTCTGGTTCATGATCCTCGTGATCGCCCTCATCCCGAGATTATGCGACCGCATCTGGAGGAGACACAAGAGGTGATGCAGTTCATCCGCACCAACATCCTCAAGAAACTCCTGACTCTGGCGAGTTTCCCCCTTAAATCTTGTATGGGGCTTAATCTAATCGTCATGTTACTTGTTCAGGTTGCTATGATCTTGGAGGTCTCTGATGAGGTTATTCAATCCACGCATGCCCCTGGTGGATCCAAGACCGAGTATATCAGATACATGATGTGCGAGCCGCGATCCAACGCAGAAAGCGAAAAGTACCGCGATATCTTCCTCTCTGGGCACACTGATCTGGGCACGTGGACGTTTCTCTTCTCGCAACCCATTGCGGCACTCCAGGTTCTCGATCATAACGATGCGACATATCGCTGGGTTGAGCACCAGCCTCATGGTTTGGTCGTCAACTTTGGGGATGCCCTCGCACGCTTGACTGGGGGTCTTTTCAAGGCCACCATTCATCGTGTTGTCCGTAAGTAGCTTTTTCCCAGTGAAGGTCAATCATGATCAAGTACCTAGGATACAAATAACGTGCTACATTATAGAACCTCCCGAGGATCAACGCCACCTTCGTCGCATCGGAGTCATTTACTTCTCGCGTCCGGCTGATGAGCGAGAGCTCGTTCCTATTGAGGGCTCTCCTCTTCTTCAAAGGCTCGGTCGCGATAAGCCAATTGACGAGCAAGTATTCTGTATGGCGGACTTCCTGGACGCTCGAAAACATGGGTTTAAGCGTTACGAGTATGACCTTGATCGTCCGCGAGATGTTCAAAAACATGCCGACTTCTTTGCTGGTGAGTATCCCGATCCGGAAGGCCATCAGAGCCTCGGCAAATTTGACAACGTTCCACGAGAGGTTTATGTGCCTTCTCTGAAGGCGAATTAAGTTCTGGATCATGCACATTGCAGCTTGAAGTGCTTACGGGGTTCATCTCTTATTATTACTAAGAAGCGATGCATTTCATAGTGTTCAACATGAGTAATCTTGTATATGTGTGCAATGTGGATAAGTAGGATTCGACTGATTTTAATGCACAAAGCAATTAGACCGCATCTAGATTTGCTCCAAGCCTGACATCAAATTTGAGATAAATGGCTGCAAATACCCCTCACACTCTCAGCCTTCGACTTTGTGTTTAACTCTTGTTGCAGCTTCGTGAGATCTCAGATGGGGAACTTCGTGTCTCATCAACTGCTAGGTGGCGTCCATACATCTGCACGTACTTTTGTTAGGCATAGATGTTGATCCGATCCTAATTTCCTTTTTTTCGTCCGTCAATGATTTTCACATAAAGCATAAGAGGAAAAAGACTAGACACGGAAGTACTGACGGCATCTACCAAATGATGCGATAGCACAATAACATCATATCTGCAATGCTTTAAGCTTAGTGCTGAATACCTTAAATGTACTTCGAGCCACGATCTAAAAGAATTGGTATTGTTTTGTCAGCCTTTGGTCTGGAGTTGGCCCAGACATGTTGGCCTCGGCTTGCATCGAGATCGACAGGAGGAGCTCCTCCAAGAAGTTGACCCACCCATCCAACTCAACACATGTACTTACTTCTACAATCTCGCACATGCAAGAAATGGTCGGACATTGGAAGGTCCGGCTTATCGCAGAGAACCTAAGGAACAACAGCGTGGTAACTCGGCATTAGCGCAGGTTCGAAATGAAAGGCGAATCTGCTCTACTACTTTGTCTATGGGCAAGATACCTCAAGACTTCCAAGCTTCTTGGCCCTGCTCACCTAGATGGTCAGTATATGTCAAGTAGTATCAACCCCCCGCAATTTGCTTAGCCTTGATAATGGAAGTTTCCTGAGGAGGGCGGGGCACCGTCCCTTATCCCCAAACCTGGAATGCCTTCTCTGTCCAGGGGGAAGATATCCTGAAGTAACAGCAGATAAGACACCAACGTCGAATGCATCTAAAAAATAAACCACTGCACCAAAGGCAGATCATACATAAGAAGAGCTCTCCAACCATCTCTTCATATGCGACCATAAACTTTTGGGTGCACGTAGCTTCCAAGCCCTCAATTACCGACTCAGCCCTTTTTATTCCACTTCTCGCATTGCCAACTTAAGCAAGGTGCTCCAGGAGATATCATGGGCTTTTTCTCATCATTGAAGGAGCACTTCAAGGGTGCCTCCACTCCAATGGAGAGGAAGCTTGTTCTCAAGTTGGACTTTTTCATTCTCACATTCTGCTGTTTAGCGTATTTCATGTGAGTGACGGGCTCAGCTACGGAAACTTAATCACGATGACGAAGATGCTGATAAGTATGGCTTTGAAAAGGAATTATCTCGACAGGGCCAGTATCACTCAAGCATATGTATCCGGAATGAGAGAGGACTTGGGCTTCAAAGGGGCTCAACTGACAGTTGTAACGACTCTTTACGCGACGGCCTATCTTATGTGAGTTCTCACAGCCACACGCAGCATCGGCCTTCGGGCTCTAAGTGCCCGAAATCTGACCGTGTTCTTCTTTGCCTCCCAGAGGCATTGTTCCCAATAACTTGCTTTTGACTTATTTCAAGCCTCGAAACTTCTTCCCCTTTATGATTACAACCTGGGCGGGAATCACCATGCTGAATGCAGTGGCGAAGACTCCGCAGCATCTTATGGCTATCCGATTCTTCCAAGGATACTTTGAATCATGCATTTTTGCTGGGACTCAGTACATCCTGGGGTCATGGTACACTAAGAAAGAGCTTGGCCAGCGCACGGGATTCTTTACCGCTAGCGGTCTCGCTGGTGGCATGTTTGGCGGCTTCCTACAGAGCGGCATCCATTCCTCAATGAATGGCCTACATGGGTTGCCAGGTTGGAAGTGGCTTTTCATTGTAAGTCTACTACTTCCGATCCTTCTTTTCTCAAAGCTCCTACTCACTAACTCTGCTCAGATCTCCGGCATTATCACGCTGCCTGTCGCGGTCTATGGGTACTTTTTCTTCCCCGATACACCTCACACGACCACGGCCTTTTATCTTAGCCAGGAAGAAATTGCTCTTGCAAGAGAACGAGTGCCAATACACGAGGTCGACGAGATGGAGAGCATCCTGTCCAAGTCTTTCCTCTCCAGGGTGATGCACTCCTGGTACTTCTACGCCTTCTGCTTCCTCTGGATTCTAGGCAACTGCTCCGAATCGCAGTCCAACCAGTCGCTTCTGAACCTCTACATGCAAGCTCATCCTACAGAGAAGTACAACCTTTATCAACGCAACAACTACCCCACCGGTGTACAAGCCATGGGCGTGACGAGCACCCTATTGTGGGCGACTTCAACAGATATCTGGGGCAGGCGATGGCTGTCGGGTTACTACGTCTCCTTCACGGCTATTTCCAATGCTGCAATTATTCTCGCCCCGACTTCAACGGCAGCCAAGTTCGGGGCCTACTACTGGGCTGGTTCGATCTACTGCATCCAAGCCACTTTCTTTGCGTGGGCCAACGACTCAATGCGAAACGAATCACCGAGACTTCGATCTTGCGTTATTGCATGCATGAATGCAGCTGGCAATTGCTTCCAAGCTTGGTGGCCACTCATTTTCTATAGAGCGGATGACGCTCCGGATTTTAAGGTGAGCATACGAGCTTTCTCTACTAGAATCGAAGACCTGATACTCATGTAACTTTCGAGAGCTCGCTGACATTTTGATAGAAAGGAATGATTGCCATGATAGCTGTGGGGGCAACGATGGCGATTTGGGTCACCGTCCTTGTCTCGGTCGAAAAGCGACGCGCTAATAGGAAGCTTGAAGTAATCGAAGCCGTTGTGGAAGAGCGAAGCTTGGAGTCAGAGGCGCCTGCGAAGTTGGACGCTTCTAAGCTGGATAGCCAGGTTTCTGATGTCAAGCCGTCTTCACACTGAATGTGATGATGCCCGATATTATGTACGTCTTGAGTTGTAGGCTGCAGCACAGCACACAAAGTTCGGCCGAGAGCGCAAGGAGGAAATGAAGTTGTGCCAAGAGTGAGTGGCCAATTTGTTACATTAATAATACCTGCACTTGTACTTGCAAAGTGCCCTTCATTGCGGCTTCTTCCCGTGCTCAAGCCTCAACAGTGTTCTTGCTCACAACGCCCCTGGCAAATTCTCCGAATGTGATATGCTGCTCCGAGTCAACCTCCTCGCCCAGGTTTGGCTGCGTAAACACTGCCAGAGTGTTCCTTGCCACCCGGCCATTACTCATGGAAGGCCTAACTCCTCTTACGAAGTGTGGCACGGCCTTGAACTTGCCCTTTGTGATCCGTTCGAGTGCCTCGCCTGTCTGGAAAGCAATGCAATCCCTCGGAATCTTCACCTGAACGGTGTCACCTGTCCGAGACTTGATGTAAAGCCCAGCTAGAGGATCAGGGCTCCCTGCCATCTCCTCTAGCGGGGAGACTTTTGTAGCATCTTTTCCGAGTGAGACTGCATCCGATGGCGTCTTATGCTCATCGACGAACATCGCAGATGTCAAAGCTGTCAAGACCGAATGGTCGAGGTGCACGCCGCACCAGTCATCCTCGTTTTCACTTGATCCCTCCTGAGATTGCGGGTAGTAGTGCAGCAGCCTGGCCTTGGTGGTGTTGCTCGTGCTGACAACGTGCTCGACGTATCCCTTGGTGTAACCCTCGATTTCCCGCTCCGCATATTGATCGCATGCTCGTGCAACGAGTACGGCTGTGTCGATCAAAAGCCTGCAGAGGTCTTCCAGACTGCTTTTGAAGCCGGGGAGAACCTCGCTTTCGGGCCAGATGTTTGGTGACAGGTATTCTGGAAAGTTCTCCACTGAGAAATCGGGCGTTGGCTTTGCGGCATCTAGCTCTGGATCGGTGTAGAATGCACAGTTGGCGTAAAAAGAGCCTTTGAACGTGTCTACTTGTCCGTCCTTGAGTTGTTCTTTGCCCAATGACCAGCCTGTTAAATACTTGGCGGCGGGGTTCTCGACCTTGTCTGCGTCACAGGTATCAGTAGCCACATTCTGATAACTCGAACGGGGGTCATTTACCAAGCTCAGCTTTTGGCAAGTTTCCAAGGTACGAGGCATAAGAAAGCGCTTGGCGTCTCAACTCGGGAAACTCAGGTGGAACGTTCTTGACAACCAAGATTCCTAGAGAATCTGGCCCAAAAGCCTCAACGAGTCTCTCAAAAGGCACAATTCCTAGAAAGCACAATCAGCTACAGTGAATGGGTCAGTTTAAGGCTGTTGTTAACATACCGTTTTGCAAGTCGGCCAGCGATACTACAACTGGCTGAGCAATGATTGGCGCGCTCATGATGAGAGTTGTGTGACTATGAAGAATTAGAGAGGTGAGAATGTTTTGCAGCCGAGGGATTCGGGAAGGAAAAAGAAGGGCGGATCTCTCTCGAGTACCTTCCTGGACCGTATCCGGTCTTAAATGTGTGGCTTTCTGACCCTTATTGCGTTACACAATGGAATAGGTTGGACCAACCTTTATGGTGTATCTACGGTCTTGATCGTCTCATTGGGTAATTCTTACGAATCTCAGAAGGTTGGACCGGACTAAGTGGAGTGGAGGTGCCGGGACGTCTCTAGAACCACTTGCCACATTTGGCCTGTCAACGCTCATAGGCTCTGCCCGATTGGCTAATATTTACGAGGCTACCCTATCAAATGAGAGCGTCCGACTTCATTTCAGGAGGAATCGAGCCCATTGGTCGTGACTGGCTGGTATTTACGAATGTCAAATCCTCTCTACTTATACGGACCGAGGTTCTGTTGTTGGGAATACCACTTTTCTTTACGTTGACATGAGATATCAGGTTTGGCACGTTTTTCCTTTCTCATTACGTGATATACAGAAGCCAGGACGCTGTCATATTTCATGAGTCTTCCACAACTACCGGTCCTAGCAAGTGGTCTTTGTCACATCCACTCGCCTTACAGATCTTCGATCGTACATTCGACGTCGGTCGCAACTTCGTCAGAACAGGCTTGCCATCTTGCCCTGGCGCTAGCCTTTGATAGACTTTATGGATCCTCCCTGTTTCTGGCACAGTCACGTCTTTCAACCAAAACCATCTGGATTCCGGAGGAACGAATCCTGCCGCATCGCGACAAGTCTCCTCAAGCAGTAAGGCTCCCAAGATCCCGTCCATATTTGACACCACATCCCAGGCGACCATTGACGGGGGTATCTCATGCAGTGCTTGCAATGCCGTCATGCGGATGTCGTGATTTCTGCAGGCACGCACAACAGTGCACAGCGGTAAAATGAGGCCTTGCCCCAGCAAGACTGACGTTGGGCGGGGTTGTGACACACAGTCGCGATACAATTCAACGCAAAGCATCGTCAGATCTCTGAACTCGTTCTCGAATGCATCGTAAGCCACCTCGGTTGGGTCTAGGCAGCACGTAAGTGTGATGTGGAGAAGAAGCCAGTGGATTTGAGCGATCCGGAGGCCCTTTTTAGTTGCGATGTCCACCCTCGGATTTTCGGCATAATATTGAATGACTGATCTCCATTGTTGTAGTTGCGAAAGAAAGTTTTGCTGGTGAATGGTGAGGTGACGGAGCATGTCCAGAGACACACCCTCTGCAGTGACATCGGTAGAGTTGCCGATAAAGCTTACGGCAAAAGTGAAGAACCTGCCCCATGAAATGAAGAACTTTGAGATCGGCTCGTGTTGAGGATTATGAACTTCAGAACCAGGATCGATTTTGAAAGGGTGAGTGTGATGGCGGCGAGGTTGAAGTGATTGTGACAGCTGGCTCATTGCTGCTATACAAGGGAGCACATGCTCCATATCGTCGAACTCGGAGTCACGGTACTTTGCCTCACCATCAGGATCGCTTTCGAACATTGTGATTGAGTCCCTTAGTGCTCCGAGGCATGAGTTGAGGAGCATTTCGGCCGTCCTTGGTTCACCCTGGAGCAGCTCGTACACAACAAGTAATAAGGTTGTGACAACTACCGTGGTTGGTGATGAGGCTGTGATCAACTCCATACGTTCTCTGAGAGACTTGACTGCTTTGACGTGATGTCGCAGCGCAACCTCACGATGTTCGGTTACAGCGTATCCATCCGAGGCAGGTGGTAACGCTTTCCTCCTAGGCGAGCTTGGTCTCGCATCCTGAGGGGTGGAGCGAATAAGCGCCCCAACAGCTAGGATCGAGTGGTGAATACAGTCATCTTGTAGACCTTCGCCGACGACTAGATAGGACCAGTTGGGACTAGTGTAGTAACCTGCCAGGTTGGTGGAAACCTGATGTCGAAAGTAATCGTAGTATACGCCGTCCTTGTGATAGATCTTTGGTAAGCTTGAAAGAGATCTAGGAATTTGAGGTGACAAGATGATCTCGGATTTGCTGGTACTGCAGACGTCGGCGGCCTCGGCTGAAGCGGACCGAGGAGCGATGAGCTGCGGCGTATTCCGGCGGACCACGTTTTGGTTTGTCCGTTTCCTCCGGCGGTCGATGCGGTCCACGTAGCCCTCGCAGACGACTCCGACCTTCTCACAACGGAAACATGTGGGCTTGCGCTCGTCGCATTTTACATGGCGAGTCTTGCAGGTGGCACAGCCGGTACGCGCCTTCGGTCCACCCGCCCTGCGCCGTTTGGTCTCCTCCGTCGGCGAGGCCCGGTCGCTGGTGTAGACGGACTCGGGCGACGGCGGTGCCTCGAGGGGCTTGGGGAGGATCCAGGGACCGATTTTGGAGGCCAGGTCTGGCCCGAGGAGATTCTCCATTGTTTCTTTTCCTCTTTGCGCTGCTTTGGTTCAGGATTGGCTGACCGGAGGAGAAAGTGGTGCGATTCTTTGGCGCCCATATGAGTAAAAGAAAAGGAGTTCAAGGAGTTTAGAGATGGGCTGCTCAAGCCTTGAGCCGCTTGGGAAGATTGGCCCTGGCCTGGGGGATAAATGCAACGGTGAGTTGGGAAAACCACCGTCTCCACCATGCCCCCCGGATTGCGGGGTTCTCGCATTACAACAAATGCAACATTATTCGCGCGTTTTCTTATCAGAGTCTCGTGTGAATGGTCAGTTGACTGCTCGTAACTTGTTGACCAATCACAAAGTCCTGGTTTGTTCGGGGTCCTCTAGCTTAAACACGAACTGATAAGTCGGGGAATGAGCCGAAAGAACCCCGGCTTGGCTTGGCTTTGTTGGGTGCGCACATGTTTGTTGCTGAAGAAGGTTCTTGGAAGTTAGTTCAACTTGAGGCTCAGATCAGACGTCGGCATTGCGAATTAGCGATGAGGTTCTGAGATCGAGTTGAGATATCCGCAGCCAAGCTTTGTGGACAGATGTGTCATAAAGTAGCGTTAAGAATCCCTACATTAAGGTCCAAAAGTCTCTAATGATTTTGAGTCACTATGGTAATGGCAGTATGAGCTCCATTCACCTCACAGACCCCGGAGCCCACGGACCATGGCTCAAGACCAGGCAATAATCGGCTTGACAACATCGCCGCGCTTCATCGCTTCTACGGCTGATGCAAAATCGCCGTGTTCAAAGACTTTGATCAGTTTCTCAACCGGGAACTTCCCCTCTCTCCACCATTGAACCATCTGAGGGACGTACTCGGCAGTATTCACATGCCCCTGAACAGCTCCAAAATACTGCTTTCCGCTGACCATGAAACTCTGCATGTGAAGTGACAGATGTGACTCTGGCATTCCGGTGCCAACTTGAATGATCTTCCCCATGTACCTCGTTCCTTGAACTTGGGCATCAAGCAGTGGCGGGAACGCGCTGGTGTCGATGCATATGGTTGCACCAAGCCCTTCAGCAGCTTCTTTGATTTTTTCCGTCACCTGGGCCATTTCTAACCCGGTCGTGTTGATGATGTGCGTAGCTCCGAGTGTCTTAGCCAGCTCGAGGCGAGACTCGACTCGATCGATTCCGATGATGGCCTTGCACCCTTGATTCTTTGCTGCAATGACTGCTGCCAAGCCTACGCCTCCCATACCCGCGATAGCGATGCAGTCGTCCGGACCGGCCTTGGCGACGTTGATGACAGTTCCGCTGCCTGTCTGGAGACCGCAGCCAAGCGGTGCGAGTATTCTCAGGTCGTCCCGAGTCAATCCGAGGCCGGCAGCGTTCACAACCGACTTGTCGCTGACAACTGTATGGTGGGCCAAGCTGGACTGGCCAAAGAAGCGTCCGCCTATTCCGTCTGAGAAAACTGATTCTCCCATGAAATTGATCTGAAAGAAGTTGGTGCAGTGGGATGGTGGCCCTGTCTTGCAAACGTGGCACTCTCCGCAGTATGAGAATGACAGGAAGACGGCATCGCCGGGCTTGACCTTTGTCACGCCGTCTCCAACCTTGACCACATATCCAGAACCTTTGATGTAGACATAGTTAGCAAAATGAAACAGAGCAACAATCCACTCGGTCCGCTCAATATTGCTCACCTTCATGTCCTAGAACTCGAGGGTAGTAGACTCCGGGAACCCCCTTGTCGTCAGGCGTGTTACCACAGTGTAAGTCTGTATGGCAGATGCCCGAAGCAACAATCTCAACAAGAACCTCATCTGAGCGAAGATCCCGAAGAGTAACTGGTTCGATGGCCCATTTCCCCTCAGAGAAAGGGCCTCTGGCGACGATAGCTTCTGACTTGAACGACATTGATAGAACCAGATGTCGAAATGGGTTGTTGCAGGGGTCTGGTGGCAAGCCGAATTTACAAAGGCTTATCGGTAGGAGCTTGAAAGCGTCAGAGTGTGTATCGAACTTTCGAAAAACAAGGGTTGCATGAATAGTATTTGTCTCGGAGTGATGGACAGTAGAAGACCGGGGAAGATGGAGGTGCGGGGTTGCATCGTGATGATAAGCGCCTTGCATCAACATCTGCACCCCGACTTCTTAATCAGGCAGTTCCCGCCGCCACCAGATTCGATAACCCTATTAAACCAAACTATTCCCTGAAGGGGGCTTCCATGTTGTATCACGCGCAAAAAGACTGCCAGACTGATGTGTTGAGAGACGCAAGTTGGTCAGAAAACCTTGAAGTGGAAGAACCCGACTGTGATGCAAAATGCAACATGGTGTACACGCCAAGCAAGGCTGTGCGCTTTTCAGATCAACGAAATTCGTGCTCGAATGTGGCGGGTTTCCAGTACACTACAGAACAGGGCGAGGTCAAGCTGAGGAACAACCATGCCTTGCGATGGTCTGAAATTCCTGGTCTGGGTTTCAACTACCCATAGCTAACCTAGTTTATGCTGCCCTCCAGAAGTTGTCCTCTTTGAGCAGTTAGGTTGCAAACCAGTTGGTTCATCATCAAATTCCCAAAACTTCTAATCAATCA